GACCATGACGGTGGAGGAGCTGAGAGGCGTTCTGAGCTCCTGGGCCCAGGAGGTGAGTTTCGGACGAGAGTTGACCATCGATAGGTAGAACCATCGATCGAATGAAGATTCACTTTTGGTCCACTACTATGCAATGTTTATATGTATACATACACAATATAAATAAATAAATATATATAGACAGTACAGTAGTATTATTAAAGATCATTCATTAGTTACTTTTCTGCCAGGTGTTTTTCGGGATTTGTCTGGACGTGACATCTTTGAGTTTTTTTGGGGCCCCGGACTCTGGAGAAGCGCACAGCCCGAAACCAGCGGGTAGACCGCTCCCCTCTTCCACGGGCACCATGGGCACCCGCCACAAGACGCTTTGCTCACCTGGTCATGATGTGGCTGATTGGCTTGGCTCACTTCACTCCCTCCCTTCGATGGCAGAAGGATTCCATGTTGGTGGAATCCATTCCGTCTCTCGACGCTTGGACCGCGTGACGGGGGAAGTCTAGCACCGGTGCCACGAAAAAACTGCGAGAATTTGGGGACGTTGCAGGTCAACAAGACGACGAGGAGCGAGCATGCAGATCCCAATTGGCGTTTGCCTGAAGAGATGCTGGGCCAGGCACGAGCGCTGAACACGTGGAGGCGACGAGAGGAAGACGAACCGAGCAACATGATGGTCAAGACCCAAAGCCATCGGATCAGTCAATGTCCCGCCGGTACAGACACTTGTGATGTTCCTTTATGTTCCTTGTTTGATTTTGAACCAGAGCCGCATAGGTGTGTGTATGAGGCAAGCCAGAAGCAAAAGTCTTTTTGGCATCCCCAGGAAGCGATGGCCAGTTCTTTTTTGATTGGAATGGAACAAGCAAGAACTAAGCTGACAAAACTTAGGCGTACCGTGAGATGGGACAATTCTGGCAAGTATGTACGTTTAGCAATCTTTAATGTAAACTGCAATTTGAAACTGACATGAAGGTTTTTTTTGCTGTTCAACTTCTGGGTTCCTTTCTACTGGGTTCAAAGGATCAGCATTGGAACCCGGACATTGGGATCTGGGATCCATTGAACGACGAGGCAAAAGCACCCATCCTTTTTTTTTTGAGAGATGACATCTACTTGTCCCCTTCCCGTGGTTTGGGGCTTCATCCCATCTTATTTCAGTGGCACACCTATTGCTGAATCAAACATGGCTTCTTCTCGATTCGATGCTTCCACGCCTTCCCATCGTGGTCGTATCACAGGTGGTCCTGCGCTTGAGCGCAGTGTCACTGAGTCCTTTGCAGAAGCGAAGCATCAGCAGAGACTGCCTGGATCTACGGCTCAAGTTTCCGGAGCCTCTTCTAGGTCTGCCCCGCGCGTTGAAAGGGGATGCTGCACACCTCTGAAGGCACCAGGTCTTGCTGTGGAACTTGCTGCGGAGGTCTAACTGGTCTGTTGGTCTTCGTGGGACTCATTTCTCGTGCTGGATCCAACATCTACGTAAAGTTCGTCACTTGCGTGTTGCTCTGCTGTCACATAAATCCGACATAGATGGATCCACAGAAGGATCCGTTCTGCACGCTCTCGTGCAGTCTTAAGCCATTATTTTGTTGGATTTTCAGAAACGACCATCTGAACACTTTTAGTCCTCCACTTAATAAGGAAAATGACATGAACCTTCTAGTCCTCTAAGAATTGCGCAAACGCTGCCCGAAGCAATTAATTTGACAGCCTCGCTTCCCACACTTCTCCACGGTCACCAATGATTTCTGGTCATTCTTTCACGAAAAAGCACCGCGGTTTCCGTGGAAAGCGGCGGTGAAACACGGCCAGACGCTGTGCTGATGGACCGCGGCCTTGAGGGACCAGAGGTGCTGATGGCGTGCTGTGGACTTCAGCATCGGAGGCATGAGACTTGGAGACGGAGTTTGGAGTTCTGTTTGTTTTTCCTTTTTTGAAATGTCATTTTGGTGTTTGGAGTTCCTTTATTTAAGAAGATACCTTTCCTCTTTTATTTTTTCGTTTGAAGGTCTTCCGTGCTTCCGTTTGGACTTTTTCCTTTTTTGTGAGATTGCATGACTGGTTGTTGGAGTGGTACCGAGTGCTTTTTGTTATTGTATTAATAGACTTTACCTACCTCGTTCCACTGATGGGAGATGTTTGGAGCCGAGCAGTGACTCATGCCTGCAGAAAGGTTGACACTTATAAGAGACTTACTGTGAAGTTCAGCTCGTCCTGAGGAGATCCTGGAACACTTGAGGCAACTTCAAGTTGAGCAGCTGCCTGGACAGCAACTGCTGAAGATGGTGAAACATGTGGCACCGGAGGCCGCGAGCTGCGATGGTGGACATTTGGGCATTTTGGTGGAAGAGTCCCAAAAGTTACTCATTGAACACCGGCAAATCAAAACATCTATTTTTTCCACTCTCCATCTTTGGATCCAGGGTGTTTTCGCTTTCAGTGTCCCGGTCTCTCCAGTCACCGCGGAGGTCCCACTGCAGCGGCGCCGCTTCCATGCGCAGTTGCTCCACCAGGCCTTCTACGCTGCGACGGCGACCAAACCGGCGCAGTGGCCACGGCGGTGCGAGTCGCTCCGCAACGGTCTGGGCGGCCTAGGCGGCCTCCCCCGATATTTGTTGTACTTGACTTGGCCGCTTGCTGAGCCAGGAAAGGATTTTTTACTTTTTTGCGAGGAAAGGTGGAGTAAGCAGTGTTTGAGCAGGTCACGGAGAGAGTGCAACACAGAATTTCCAATCATGTATTCACAAATTCTGTCAATTTGGGGTCACTATATCCGACTGCAACACATTTTTTTGTATGATTATAGGTATAATTATGTATATATGATTTATATGATTATATAGATGGGTCATGAGACAGGTCATGAGTGGGACTGAGAGACTGCAGCTTGTTTGGTGTGACCACTCGTGGACGGATGTTGGTGAGTGGACTGACTTGGGTTGACGATTCTTTCTCGGGGCACTTCCGTTCTGTGGCTCAACTCTTGAGTGACCCTTTGCTCAAAACCCAAAGAGAACAGACAAAAGCAAACTCCAATCACTCAATTCTTTGGTGAGTCTTCCCGTTCTGACCAAATCTTCGTTTGCCTTCTCATCTGCAAAAGATGCTCTTCATCCCAAAAACCCGCTGCAAGCCGCAAGCAATCACTGTCTTGGGAGCATGAACTTCCCCTCAGAAGCACGCTTCGCGCCAACTCCAGCGCGTTTCGCCCGCTTCCACCGGCTCAGGTGCGGCTCGTTTCGCTTCCTTCAGGGCCTTCCCACGGCTTTGCTGCTCCAGCTCAATGAGAGGTCGGAAGTCCAAAACACGGAGTTGTGGCAAGTTAGGCACGCCACTTTTGTAAACACCTCGCTTTTTCATGGGTCATGCTGTTTTCGTGGGACCTGCGAATGATCTACATCAGCGGGTGGGAGGCGAGGTTTGGGGTGTCAAAGGCACCACACATTCACACATATATGTGGCTGATTGGGTATCGGTGGCCCTGTCCATCAAGGGGTGAGGAGTTTCAGCAAGTTGAAATTATCCAAGTGAGTGACATCCGAGCTCGAACAGCTTAATTATTGTGCCGGCTGCCCGCGTTTAGATGGGTTGAACAAGCACGGAAAGATCACACTCCCTCTATTTCCCCAACCGAAGAAACACGTAAAGCTTTTCTCTTTCCAGCTCCAGGCTAGCCTGGTCAGAGCCGGCCCGGCGAGCGAGCGGGCTGAGATCCTTGGCGGATCTCACGGAAAAGGAGACCTCCTCCACCTTGGAGAAGGATGTGCTACGCGTTCTCCAGGCCGCCGCATGCGGTTTTTTTATCATGCCGCGTGCCTGCTTGATGGATGATGTAAGTTGACAGGAGACATGGTGGACAGGGGATGGGTCAGTAGACTGCAGCTCATACCCATGGTGAAACACATCAGACTTTGAGGGAGAAAACATCAAGAAAAGCTCCTCGGTGTGGGATTCGGAGGATCTGGCGGGTGAAGGGCTCTGACGGGTCCTAGTCTGTGCTTTTTTGGAACTGACGTTCCAGTTGTGAATCAATCCACATCAGAACATGATGTTGAATCACTTGCTGCCACCCTGGCAGATTCCATCAGATCATCATCAGCCTGGGTTCCCTCAAGCAAATAGCAAAGCAACAAGTGCGAACACCTCTTGACTCTTGTCCTTGCATCAAGGATGCCCTCCCTAGAGAGGTGATTTTTACACTTTGATCACTGGATGGCCCACAGATAGCCCACAGGATTGTTTCAGGTGGCTCGGCAAACATCCAGGTGGAAACATTATATACCTTCAAAGCTGAGAGGAATCTGCAAGCTCGACCCCCATGCTCGCCCTGCCCTTTTGTCGGTACCAAAACATGGGTTCTTTTTCTCCGAAACCACACCAAGTTGCGAACTCTGCGTAGAAGAACCAGGCCATCTTCCGGGGGCAGCGAAAAAGAAGGACTTCGATTGTGCCGCAGCAGAGCGTCTCAGGGCTGTTTTCCTTGGACATCTTGCTGTCAAGTGAGTGATTTTCGGGTCCTTCACCCACCTCGGGACATGACCAAATCGGTCGTTTCCCGACTGCCGTCATGGCCCGGTGCTGCAAAGGAACAGCGCCCAGAAATCGATTCAAAAGCCGACGGTCCGTCGTGCACGATGTATAGCTCTGCAGCACGTCGAGTGTGGGACAGTTTGTCAGTTGGCATGGTTCAATGCGTTTGAATAAAACCAAGGCATTTGGCGTTGTCACTATAGATGGTGATATGTGAGTAGTATATACATTTGATCTTCAGAATCGACGGGAGGAGGAAGGGGAGTGACTGCACTCAGAGTTGTTTTTTGAAAAGACATGCGTGGAGAAGAGTGGTTTGAGTTACGTGTAGGAAACGGTATTTGCTTGCTCGACTTGGGAAGAGCGTAGGATCTTCTGCATTTGTATATATATATATATATTTGCCGCCGTTTCCTTTGAAGCCTGGCTGGTTTTCAGCACTTTCCAAGTCCGCCCGAACGTGGCAGTGCACCATGTCGACCTCTGTCAAGCTACAGTACCTCTCAGGGGAAGTCTTGGCAGTACTGGAGGGGCTGAAAGACGATGATACTCTGCAGACGGTGAAGGCGAGAGCAATGGCGTGAGGGACTGGAGTGCACTCCAGATGTTCCTAGTAGCTTCTTGTTACTGCTAGTAAGGCACTTGTTACTAGTAGCGTGGCACTTGTTACTAGTGGCGATGCACTTGTTCCTAAAAGATTCCAAAGAGTGTGAGCACATTAGAACAAGAGACCAAGTGAACTTGAAGATACCGCACGCAATGGAAAGAGAATCCCATCCCATCTCATTCTATTTTTATGACCTCCTTCTCTATTGGCATGAGTGCTCATGCAAAAATTCCAGTTTCACTCTCGAGTTTCACTATTCTTGAATCCAACTTTTTTTCACAATCATTGCAGGCTTTGGGTGACACGCACCTGCCACCGGGCGTCTCCATCGACTCGCTACTCGGCGACGACTCTGCAGTCTGCTCGCTCTCAGAACCGCTCAGCAGCGCGCCCGGCGTAGGTGAGAAGCAGCTGACGGTGGTCACCGGAGAGCAACCACCAGAGAGGCCAGAGGTGCTTGGAGTAGCGAGTCTCAAGAACTGGCAGGCCTCAAGTCTTGTGAGAGAATAGACTAGAGGCATGACCGGTTGGCAAGAGAACCATTGTGACACGGACCCCAAATGCAATGAGGAATAGATGATTTGAATGGTTTGTGTGTAACTCCAAAGTGTGATGTGTCGGAATTGGTTGATTGGATCTTTCAAGGGCAAAGTCCCATTTTCAGGTCCCATTTGTTTGAGTTGGGACTTCTGATTCACGTTTTCGTATGTTTTCGTCAGGTATGTGACTTTGGACAACGGTGGCCATCCCTTCCTGGTGAGCATTTTATCTCGGAATGCAGAACATTCTGTGAGCATCTGCTGCCTGAAGGGTGATGCTGGCCCTGACGAGGCTTCTTCTCCCTCAGGAGAGGTGAAGAAGCAGAAGGTTGGAAAATGGATGTGGCTCCACAACTATGAGACCCAAAAGCCGCTCTTCCATGAGCGTGTGAAGCAGGCAGGGTGGGGTGAGGCCGGAGACTTTTTTTCCCAGGAGGGTCTTGTCTTCTGATACCATGCTTTGACATGTTTTTTCTGCACTAGATCAGCACCTACTAGTTGGGGCAGAACCCGTTCTCCCTCACCCTCTGCACCCTTCCTTCAACGCCGTGCCATGCGCCCCCAACCTCGGTTTGACTAGGTCTGGGTGGGCAAGAGCCCACTGAATCGGATGACGCGCTCCAGTGGCGGGCATGGCGCCGACTTTGATGGAAACTCAATCCTGGTCGAAAAGATGGATGGCGACTACATCTTTGTGGGTCATGACACTCGGGTGCTGAAAGTCTTTTTTTGAATCCGATGATGAGGGGATATCAACTGAACAATGTTCCACAATGATGGACACTTTGATTTTTTGTTTGGTGAGTGCAGTTTTTGCCTGATCATCGCAACCAGCCTGCCGAGTGGGAAACAGGAACTGTGAACTCTTGTATTGCATTTTTTCAAGAGGAGGCGCAAGGTTTTCAGACAACTTTCATTTACAACTGCACATCTCAGACTCAGACTGCCTCAGAACGACCTGTCGTTTGCCTCAGCTGGATGTGGGTGAAAAAACCTGTACCCCCCCCAAAAGGATCCAAAAAGGGCTCCAAAAGAAGATGTTTGAGTCTCTTCCGTGCGAAATGCCATGAAAATCCGATGTTTCGGCCTCCTTTGGTGGCATCTTTTCAGGAGGTGCTTTCCTTCAAAGCTCCTGCCAAGCTCGTGGAACACGTCTCTCCCGTGGGGAACAGCTCGGTGCCATATCCCTATGCCGTGGATGCCGATGGGCGACACTACCTGTTCATTGAGAAGGTGGTACTTGATCAGATTCCCACAGATGCAGAGCATCCAGATGATCCAGATCCGCCGCTCGGGTCGGACGGCGTGTTCCACCACCGGGAACCGGTGGCAGGACCAGTGTCCTCCTATTGTGCTTTTCATTGGTGATCGTGTAGAGTGAAGAAATGTGAAGGAAGAGTTCATTCATGTTCATGCTTTGTTGGTGTCGTTGATTTGAAGGGGAACAGTGGGATGGCGCTGTTCCGTGTGTTGAGACCTTTGGGCGACCATGTGGGACATACTGTGGGACTCTTGGATACTACTTCCTCACGTGTTTCCATGGTTGGAGCTTCCAATACCTGAGTTTCGCTGCAGTTTTTGACCCAGCAGGAGCTGCAGGAGATGTTGGGATTCTCTCACAGGAAGAGTCCAAAAAGGTGGGACCTGAGCGATTTGTGAAGGAAAACCTGCTTTCAGGTCCGACCCAGGTGCTCAAAATATCACCACGCAGCTCCTCTAGAGTACTCCCCAAACCCCTCCCGAAGACATATCGACACTAGGAATTCTCGCAAATTGACCTGTAGCTATGTTTGGCGATAGCTTACCATGCTTTGGGAGGTCTGTCCTGTATGTCTTCACATCCCGAACTAGGAAGTTGCGATTCATGCGATGGATGGACCTCTGGTTGTCTTATTCCGGGCGGCCCAGGCCCCTCAATCTGAAATGTTTCGGATTACATTTACCCCCACTCACATGTCCGTCCAACTGGTGGAGCACTTCATTGATGATTGGTGATTGGTGATGTTTCCGCCTGGGTGAAGTGGACCAGGTATACGCACTACTACGAGATGAAGCTCGACCAATGCAGCTCCGCCAAGATTCGACCCATCAGCGGATGAAATCGCCCATGGGAACGGACACCGGTCGTACTCAGCGAGATCCGACTGATGGGGTTCTCAATTTCCTTCAGTGCCTGAAGATCCATATGACACACATGTGCGACCACGGCAAGCTTGAGCATTTGGGTTTCGGAGATTCGGCAGGTCCTGTTTTCTACCTTTCTGAGTGGCAGTGGCTGTGACCATGGGCAGTACCAGGGTACTGTGCCGCACTTGCCATGTCAGTGCCGCATGCCTCGAGTGGTGCCGAGCTAAGGTGATTTTCGACTCACTTGCGATGGCCACAAATTGAGTCCATACCATGCTGTGCCTTGAAAAATCAAGGTGTGAGCCGAGGGTCGCGCGGGGCCCATTTGGTCGGTCGTGCTGAACAGGGATTGATAGGTTTACAGGTTGGTCATGATGCGATAACAAAAACTAAATAATACATGCGGTTGTTATGTCCACTAGGAACATCTGCCGGCCCAAGGTCTCCTTGAAATACTCACGAGGATCTAAATGCCTTTTGCCTTTGTTCTTGGGCCCACAAGACTGATGGGGTCAGCCAGATGGGAGCAGGGAAACAGCATGCTCAACCAGGCGTATCCGACTGAAGATGCGGGGTTTGTGTCAAGTTAAGGGAGACCGATCGAAAGCGCCCGGTTTTGTCATGTTGGAGAGTGTTCCCCTTCTTGGCACGGCTGTCCGTGTTAGACGAATTGAATAGGAAATGGCGAAATCAACCTGGAGACCTGGACAGACTTTTGTGTGCTGTGATTGTCATCAGACCTCCCTATGCAAGGAGTTGATTGAGTGTGTGAATGAGCAAAAAAGAGAGAGGACTGAATTCATGAAGACCCGTGAAAAGCGTTGGACCATTTCCATCCATATTGCCAGTTCGTTTGTCGCCCAGGCCTCGGGCCGACTGCCGGCCGGCGCCCAGTGCCAGAAGGTCTCTGCCGAGGGCACGGAGGAGCTCTCGCCTGAGAGGCGTGTCCGTTCCCGTCGGTGGCATGTCCGTCGTGAGGTTCGGTTGAGGCGATTGGGTTTGGAAGAAAGGGGGTGTACTCGGGTCCACCATTCTGTTCTTTTCTTTTTGGGTTCACGGGGGGATGCGGTAGGCTAGTGCCTGCAGTAGTTGTGGGATCCAACCATTTTGGAAGCTTTTGGTAGCGCTATTTCGTCCACGCGGGTCACCCGCGTCATTCTTTCAGATGCTGGAAGTGAATGGGTGTTCATTCGCCTTTCCTTTTTCCTCACGTTACCATGCAAGAGTTGGGTGCCCTGCTCCTTGTCTTTAGATACCGCCATTGGTTTCGCTGGCCGAGAAAAGGGATGTTAAGTCAAGCTTTTTTCGTTCCTCTACTCTCCCAGGACAACACAGCCAATTCAAATCCATCGGCATATAAATGACTTCAAAACAATAATTGAAACTTCATGTCATTGCCCTGCCTGGCGGCTTTCTGAAAAGATTGACCCCAGCAGAACTTAGCTCACTGCTCCAGTTCTTCGGGTGAAGCAGACGTGCAAACCGATACATCTGTAATATCATATCATCTAATTGTATTTTACCATCTCTTCGAGACAGGGGCGTAGCCTTCTTCGAAACTCCTGTGACTCTAAGCTCTCTTGGATCGCCCGATCCTTTCGCCAGATCCTCAGGGTCATAGAGCTCGGGCGGCAGATGATGAAAGCCCACGGCCTCAGTTTCCTCGAAGGGCTGGAAGTCATGGCACCGCGGATGTAGCGCCGCCAAAGCGCGTCCACCCGCAGCAAAAGCGGCGCACCGGTGGGTGAGTGGAATGGGGCACCCGTCGGGGGGTGAACGGAAGAGAGCCGTCTTTTGGATCTCAGGTAGATCAGCCAACCATCACTTTGTGTAACCTGAACACTCAAAGGGTGAGCTTCAATTGTATATGTCTGGCCGTCGGCTGGGTCAACAGTCCAACTTCCAGCCCATGAATGAACAGTAGGGGCTTTGCAGTGTTGTTTGCTCACATCCACGAATTCTGAGAGCTTGCTGCCCCTGCAAGAAGAATCGGATATTTTTGGGTGGACATGCCAAATCCTGCTTCAAACAACTATAGTCTATGATGGTTGAAAACCAAGCTTTTCTTGCAGGAGCCAGATCTCGACCACAAATATGGCCAAGCTTCCAAACTGTTCCATGTATCAAGACAGGGATCAAGATGTCTTCTTCTACATGTATATATAGACTCCCAAATAGATAGAAACAGCAAAATCACTTTCAACATGTATGGACTGTTTCTATCTATTTGGGGACCACTACACAAAGACATGGCTTGCAAATGCTTTTGAATTCCGCGCCAGGGTGGGGTTGTTGGCACGACCTGGCAAAGGAAGATCTCCGACTAGGCATACTAGATTCAAGGCGATGCAAGTATTTTTTTTTTCACATCGAATCTCCCTACTCCAAGCCCCTCTAACTGCAGTTGACATACTGTGACTGAGTCACAGTCACCCGTGGCACAGTCACTCCTCCCCACTCAATCCACGCCAGGCAGACGAAGAGGCGATGACCACGACCACCACGACCACCACCACGAGCAGCACGCTGTCGGCCAACCGCACCGACGCGCTGCGGAAGAAGGCCCGCCCGTGACGCCGTGACGAAAAACCGCTTCGCCGCGGCGGGGGTTTTGGGAGATTGAAATGGTGCGGGTTTCGCTACAGCAGCTATTCGTCACAGGACATGCAGTTGAAGTTGGGATGTTGGTGGGGCGACGGTCTCTGCTATTCGTCACCGATGGAGGGCTCTCAAGTCCTTTTCAGAGCCCATCCGTGGGCATCATCCTTGACTGCTTTGCAAACAACATGTCAGTGAAGAGCACCCGATGCATCCTTGAAGTTGGGAAGTTTGCAGTTCCAGATATGACTTTTTGTGCAGACAGATTGGAGTAACAGCTTATCCTGGTGGATTATGGTCAATGTCAGGGACACGAACCAGGAACATGGCGGGCAGCACCCCCCTGACAGCCATGCAAAGTGCAAGCAAATGTCTGTGATCTAGAATCTAGATCTCCTCTCGCGTTGGTTTTGATCAACCAACTTTGGCCCGGCAACAGATCTCGACATCTCATCATTCCACATCCTCAAAGCTTTCCCGCCCCAAATAACTCTTCATGACCGGGCATGTTCAGCATCAGTTCTGAAAAAGAAACTGGCCATGCATTCACAATCCTTTCGCCAGTGGTTTTCCAAATTCCGGTTCCTGCCGGGGCGAGGACTCCCACCAGTCTGGCTCAACCTGCCACCAGTCCAAGCATGAGACTGCAGACAATCCTCACCTCTGAAATGACACAGTGTGCCGCACTACGGCAAATCGATATCTATTCCTTGATGCTCCTGATCTCATCGATCTGCACATAAGTTCGTCTTCCCCTTCCTAGGAACACATTGAGTTCTTCTCGTCAATTCCTTCGTTTTCACCAACCAGCCGCCACTCAGCTGCCCTGCGAAGAGGCCTTGGAGCTGCTGCATGTGGCGGCGGCCGCCACAGCAGCGGAGGCCACCAAGGAAGCCGAAGCCGAGAAGGCCAAGATCGACAAGGCCAAGGCGGGGTCTTCTCTTAGCCTGGGCCTGTTTTCCAGTGAGGGATTTTTGGAGTTGCTTCGAAAAAGGTTGTGGTTGGTGGGTGGTTGGAAGGAGCGGAGTCCAGGTTTGGAGAGTCTTGATGAGTGACCTACTCCAATTGTGGAACAGTGCGAATGTGTCTTGGATGAATGGAGGAATCTCTTAGATCCTTGGAAAGAAGGTCAGCTTCTAAGCTGGGGACCTGCTCAGAAGCCCACGTAATCGGACTGGTCCAGTAGGGTGGTAGATGAGCAAAGCCGCTTTTGCCCCTGGCCTCGATGGCCTCGATGGCCTACCGCGATGTGTGCTCCTGTTTCCAGGCTGCGGAAGAGGATAAGAAGAAAACATCCAAGAAAGAGGACCCAACAGTTGGAATGGAGCCGTAGAGTACTTGTAGATACTTGTACCCAAGAGTACCCCAAAACAGATTTAGGAGTCGATCTAGGGAACTCGACAAGAAGCAAACAGACAGTTGTTGGCCAAGTGTTGTAAGATTTATAGACATGGACAGCAAAATCATGCCAAATCACACAAGGTAATGTGAGGTCATGGGGCCAATCCTCAATTCTCAGTGAGCTGAGCTGTCGGAGCTGCGTCAGAAACCCGTCAGAGCTGTCTCTTTAGTCGAAGTGAGAGTAACGCACATCGTCTGGATGATGACTATCTCCCCAGGATGAGTACAAGACGATCTTTGATGATCAAGAAAAAAAGCACAAGAAGCTACGTTCATGCCTCAGATCTGTTCAGTTCTCAGCTTATCATGGAGTCAAGGGATGATGACGACTTTACTACCTTCATACAAAGGCTGCCCACAGGCCCACAGCTGTCTATTGGTGATCTCGGAAGCGGTTTTTTGGCCCTCAAAACGTCTCCGTGTAGAGTCTTGGTAGAAACGAAATCCCTACATCCAGGGTGCATCCAGATGACCCAAACGAACGGCGTCGTCCCACCCGGAATTCAGCAACTCGCCGTCCCCAAGGGTCATCCTCCGACTGATGAGTGATGGGCGCTTTTTGGACCGAGGAAGAACAACCCTGGTGAAAAAGATTGGACATCAGTGGTTCAAAGATAAAAGCATGAGATGGCTGGAGGGTCTGGTTGGTCTTGCTGACCATGAATGGGATCACGCCACACACGAGGTCCGACCTCAAAAGACCAATGAGAGGTGCACTGTCTGACTGTTTGACTATTATAGATTTGGATTCACAACCCATTTTCAGGGCATCCATCTCCAGATCCCTTCAACTCCATATCCCTCGCCAGAGCCTTCCAGATCGGAGCCCAGCTTGGCCGCCAGCCTTCGGCTCAAAAGCTCCGCTCACCGCCCGTCGCGCTCCTGTCGCGCTCTGCTCCCGGTCGTCTCTCGTCATGGCGCCCACAGAGATCTCCACCATCGCAGAGAACGAGTTCGGCAGCGCCTTCGAGGTGGGCTCTGCTCGAGAAGGGCTCTGACTCTTTGGTTTTTTCTGCTTGGAAAGGAGGTGAAGAGAGAGAGAGAGAGAGATGGCCACGTTTGGCGGCGGAATGGTTCCAGAAGTTACAGTGCGTGGGTATGCACAGAAGGACTATGACCAAAGTGGGCTAGAAAAGGAGTGCAGAGGAATAGTTTGTTTTCAAGTCTCTCACTCAAGTAATTTTAGCTTCAGGGAAAGGGAAAGCCAGGCAAAGAGCCGGCAAAATACCCTGAACCCTTTTGCAGAGCCTGGACGAAGATGTTTGGTCGTTATCTCCGGTCCTGGACCTGACCTGCCCCAACTCCGCGCGCCGCGCGCGAGCGCAGGTGCAGATCAAGAGTCCCAACAGCCAGCAGAAGACGGCGGCCCAGCTGCGCTTGGAGTCCTATGCAAAGATGGAGCGGTTGCCTCGCTTGAAAACCATGGAAGGAGCTCCCAGGAGCGGCGAGCGCGCAGACAAGGCCAGGTGTGGGAAGGTTCCTCGCGGATCGCTGCGGATCATGGATGGCTGGTGGTGAGGTTCATAGAGAGGCTCTTCCCGAGTGGGATGGGATGGGGTTGTGAGGAGTTCGAGGTGAGGGAGGTGGAAGACGGGAGAGGCAGGGCTGACTTTTTCGCAGCCCTACGTGGTCCCGAAGCAAGGGTCCACTGTTTGTAGCATATGGAGATGCACAGTCACCAGTCACCTGCGCATGACCTGACAGCCAGAGGAGACTTAGAGAAAAGCATTCGCAAACCTCAAGACTTCGATGAAGTCATACATGGCACACGCGCCATGAAGCTAAGGTGGTTTGGTTCTCCAAACTCAGGAGGGAATCTCAGACAACCACCTGGCAGGTTCCAATTGCTTCTCTTTGTTGCAGAGGTTCAGGGTGAGGCCCAGGTTCTAGCTAGCCGCTAGCCCCTCCACATCGATTGGTCCCCGCACCAGGCCCGGCAGCAGAATGAGCAGAAGAGGGAGGCAGCCGAGCGTGTGCGAATGGGCTTGGCACGAAGCAATGATGCTAAACGGCAGGGATTGGCAGAGCAACTGGAGAAGGCTCATGGATTGCGTCAAGGCCGGAGAAATGGATGGAGATGGACGGCATCTGGGGTCCCTGCGATGGCATCTGGGCCGTTTTGAACATGACATTCCTCGGAAAAGGTCACCCTTTTCTAGACATGGCCTTCCATCGCTTCACCACTTCACCACCTGAAAACCACTGAAAATTTAGAGGAAGATTGTCTTCCATCCATGTGACTTGCTTCTTACGTGATCCTTTTCGATGGAACCGGCGAACACAAAGACGGACGATGGACGGTTCTGGTCGCCTCTTGCGACGGAAAAACGATCACCCAGACGCTCCTCCAGGAATATATGCCGATCAATTGACCCCAGATCAACCACCCCCAACCAACGGAGATTTAATTGAGTGAAGGATCTTCAGAATCTGGACATTTGATAGGAGACTTGCAAATTATGAATACCTGTAGATGGTCTTGTGTGTTCCTTGTTGGCAGGTTGCTGTTCTGTTGAGCGAAGCAGCACCTGTCAAAAACCAAGCAGAGGTCTGTGTATAGCAAATTCGTTATGTTACGGTGAGATCTTTGAAGCTTTAGTTTCCTCCTTTCCATCCCCAATCAAAGGTAGACTAGAGTAAGAGATTGGGTGTACCACGCATACCCTGTGGATCCAGTTGCTAGAACAAGTAGGACACCAGTGCTTCCAAAAACAAAAAGCGTAGATTTACAGTTCGAGGTGGATTATGCTTTTAGTGGTATCTAACTCATGTATATGACAAATATACATGTATATACATACGCATACATATCAAATGTACTATATGAATGTGTCATATCTATATCTATATCTATCTAGATCTATATAGCGTGTTTGAAGAATAAGAGTGTCATCTCAGAGCCGTGCGCTCCCAGCTCTTCAGGTGCCATTCACAGCCGCAAGGAGCGTGCAGCACAGCACTATGAGAAGGCCCTCGGTGTGGAGCCATCGGAGAATATCGGAGAGAAATGAAAAACCGGGGTGGTTCCAATCTTAAATGGGCATATTAGGGGCGGTTCATTTGATAGTTGATCGGTGGTGAGTTTTTCTGATTAGACTGGGCTGGCAAAAGGTGGACCTTCATAGAAACTACTCACCATGTTCCGGTGAATCCTCACGATGCTGAGCCGCTGCTTCTTCGTTTCGACGCAGAACCGTGCTCTGAGCCGGGGCAGGTGATGAAGGCCAAGGGTGGCTTCCACTCAACGAAGATCGGGGAGGTTGAGGCGAAGCGCCAGAACTTGGAGGAACAGCTGGAAAAAGCCCATGGCTTGCGTGAAGGCAGGGGGCCGCAGGGCCAACTGGGATGAGGAGTGATGAGGGTGACCTGGTGTGAGAGGCAGGGGATCTGAAACGCCATGGAAAACGATGGAAACGCCATGGAGACCTCATGGAGACCTCGCGCGTAGGGTTTCCATGCACGAATCACTGTGCTAGTCACTGCTAGTATTGCTCATCTGGTGATAGAATGCTTCTTTGGCTTCAGGGAAACTTCCCACTCACAAGGAGCTTCCCACTCCCATCCGACCCCCCTTGTGCTCGACTCAGGTGCCATTCACAGCCGCAAGGAGCGCGCTGCTCGGCACTGCGAGAAGGCTCGGCACTGCGAGGAGGTTCTGGAGTTGGAAGAACAAAGGCCGGAGCCAAGTAGCTCCACACTCCTTTCTCCAGAGGGGTTTCTGGAACATAGGTGCCTCATCTTGCCTGAGATTTGAGATGATTCGGTGCTCGTGTGGGTCCAATCTTGGGTGCTTTGCATCTCCGTTGGTGTTTCCAGTTAGGACCGATTGAGCAGAGGTTTCTCAGAGGCCAATCGACATGGGTCCATACAGCCCAAAGGAGGGCGCCCGAAGTCGTGAGTCGCACCTTGGTGTTTCTGCCTCCAAGTCACGCGAAGTCAAGTCGTGGGGCGCAAGCAACCAGAGGAACACTGAGATAGATTAGAGGACAGAGGCAAGGGATCTCAAAGAACTCCCATGTCCTTTCTCACTCCAAATTTCTTCCATGTCCTTTTCTGTTCCCATGTCCAATTTAGGTCTAGTTCTGCCAGCCACTCTCAGACATCACGCGCCTCCGATACCTACGAACGTCCCATGAAGCCCAGCGGCGTCCCAAAACGGGAGAGCGCTTTCCACGACGGTGGCTGGTCTTCGTGCAGTGATGTGCGTGCGTGTGTATGAATGTATATTAGTCCCAGGCAACCACCCTAAAAGAAGGGAAATGGAGCAAAATCCATTGGGGCAGGGGGTCGTCCCATTGAAAAACAACAACCATGTGTGTTTGATTCATTTCCTGGGCCCACTCAGACGCTGATCTTCCAAAAGGTCGGTCCCAAGTCTGGATAGCAGGTCCTGCATTACAATCTTGATGACCCCACACCAGATGCACAGCTTTAGAGTGTAGGCATTTGATGCATTTGCTCCTTTCTAGGATCTTCACATCTTAACCCCTGGCAGAACGCTGCGGCCGAGCAGGTGATGAAGAAGAAGGATGACGCACAGCAGATGTTGGCGATGAGCGCTGCCGAGGCCAAGCAACGCCTTGAGGAGGCACTGCTGCAGAAGGACCGGAGTGGGCAGGAGAGAGATTGGTTAGTCTGGGTGTGAAAAAACCTCGATCTAAGGGGAGATAAAAGGAGAGAGTTCAGTGATGTGTTCCACTGTTATTGTTTCCAGTTATATACTTTGCATGATTTTATGACCCGAAAAATAAAGGTCCTTTCAAAGAGGAGTGACCAAAACGGTGCGCAAAAGAGGTCCTGGACCGGCCTCTGGCGCCTCGTGTCTCTTTACCCGGTGGGTCCGCTCAGGAGGCGCTCCGTGACCAGAGCCTGGCGGAGATCATGACGAAGGCCACCAAGCACAACGAGAAGGTGGCACAGAAGGCTCTCAGATCGCGAGCCACGCTTGGCCACACTGAGAAGTTGGGATATTTTCTTTGGGCGGGAGGGATCGTGTGTACCTTTCGGGATGATGCTGCAGAATGGCTCTGTGGACACTGCATGTGGTTTAGTTGGACTTGTTCTCGCATAGCACTTTCTGATGCACCGACACCACTGACCTATTCAGGAGAAACATGGAGAAAGGAAAGCAACGCAAATCGTGTGTCTTCTCAAGCTGAAATGCATTTCCAAGTGGACTAAACGATTCACAGGCCCCGCAGGCAACCCATGAGCCACAACAAGTCAACAAGTGGGTATTTGGAACGAAGCACAAGGATTCGTCCAGCAAGCTGAAACAACTGCTCATCTCCAGTGTTTTTTACTTGGGCTTTCAATTCTTTCTGAGAAAGCCAGGTGCAGGAGCAGCAGATTGCCATGGAAAGCAAGCGCCAAAGTTCCAAGACTCTGCCCCCTTCAGAGCGTTTGTTGGACCTCAGCATGCGCCTTTACGAGCATCACCTGCCCTACCCCGAGCAGCCCGAGCAGTGAGCAGTGAGCAGAGAGAGACAGGGATCAAGGTCTCTCCCACCGATCCTAACAGCTGCGTGTTGCGTGAAACAGGGGGGTGGAGCCAACTCCCGTAATCCGGGGCTTGGCGTGTTGGGGGGAAAATGGTCAGCATCGTGACATGCAAAAAAAAGAAACCAACGCAGACACACAGATTCACATGTTCACCCCCACAGGAATCACTAGAATCGCTCGAATGTGACAGAATGTATGTCATATATGTTATCTCAGTTTCCCAAACACTTCTTGACTTTACCCCCACTGTGCAGTTCCAACTCTTTAGGTTTCTTCTGGGGAGAGGGCCTTTCTGCCCGATTTCAAGCGGGGGAAACTTTTTCGTCGGCCCCTCCCCACCCGTTCGAAATGGAGACCTGAAGACGCTGACGTTTAACAGCGCAACCAGACGCAGACCTGTGTCGGGTAGTGTCGGATTTTCGCCAATGGCTGCATGCGAATTCCTTTGAAATGGCAGGGTCTTCGTTCAATGAGCAACGAACCACCGAGGGCCGGCAGACAGGTGAAGTGATGGCAGACAGTTTGAGTGTGTGGATCTATCGCCCGAACTGGCGGAACTCGGTTCATTTGGAGAAGCCCTGTGTTGTAGGCCGTGGCAAATGACCATCCTCCGCTTTCGCTTATGGAGGAGAAAGGCTGCACACAAGGACGAGGGAGAAAGACCAGGATACGTGATGCTTGAACAAACACCTGTGGTTGAGGTGAATACAGGTTCATGTAAGTTTCACGGACGGAACAAGTTTAGGGGCTCTGGGGAGACACCTTTCTCGAGCCACGGTGGACGTTTCTGCAAAACTCGTGGTGTGGCCCGAAATCTTCGTGCGAAAAAAACGTCTGTTGCTTGGGCCGAGATCTTCATTCACACCGGAGCTCAGCGCCCTCTGGGAACGTCTTCATGGCCTTTCAGAATATGATCAGCAGCACCTATAAGGAGAGCCGGTTTTCTGGGGCATTTTGATGCTGCGACGCGGTGCAGCGATTGGAGAGGAGCTTTGAGAACTTGTTGGACTTGTTTGACCGCATGTTGACTCATGACCATAGTTCAGGCACGTTTATATAGTTGCTTTTTTGATCTATCATTACTCTATGAGAATGATCGAACATTCGGCAGAAAGACGGTGGTTGCAAAGCTTTTTCTGAGGCTTGCAAGGCCAACATACACAAATGACCAGCACAAAGGACTGTTTCTCTGCAAATTCTAAAACAAGCTACTCAAAAAGTCCACACAGAGATGCCAGCCTGTGAACCACCTAAACCCTAAACACCAGGATTCCTATACCGCGCAGTGGATCTTGGTGAGTTTGTACTTCTTGCTCGCGCTGCTGGCGGTGAGATATTCGAGCTGGCTTTTGAAGGCACGAGGGTCCACGAGAAGCGACGGATTAGGCGCAGAAAACGGTGATAAAGAAATAGAAGGAGATCACAAGCGATGGTCCAAAGGCTACACTAATTCGAGATAATTATACATATATATATATATATATCAGGAGCTTTTGGGAGGCTGCGCTGTAGCTTCGCTGGTGGCCCCGATATAGGAAGCACCCTGTCAGACAAGCCGCTGTTGCCACACCTTCGCCCGCCCGCGGCCGAACTCGGTGTGTCGAGGCCTCGCGGCTGGACCAATGGCTTGATTGGTTGATCCCCAGTCTCAAGGACCGGAAAATACGTTCACTCGCACCGGGGACGCCTGGGACACGCATCGAACGGAAGGAACGGACGTGAGATTGCAAGTCGTTCGCCTGAAGAGGTGTTGGTCCGCCTTAGTCGCAGGGTTTTTGGATGTTTTTGGGTGATCATGAGGCCCCCGATCACATCAATTGCACATTTTCCCCTGATGGCACTTGCGCTTGATTCTTATGGTGATGATCCGCATGGTGACGTGTTCGTACCATGTTCACATCCAATTTTGGAAGGACATATCAGGGGTTTGGCAGGTACAGGGATTTTCCGGTGGCAAGGGGTCCTTTACAAGTTTACTTGATCACACCGTGCCCCGATCCAGTGTGTCCGCTAGTTACAGGTTTGCCAGGCAACCCTGACCACAGCGAGGTGTTTGAAGGGAGTCCAAACCGGATGCGTTTTCGGTCATCTCTTCCAACCCATCCGCCCGGCTCCACCCTCGCCCTCCTCCCTCCTCGCCCACATCTGGGTGCTCCAGGTCAAGGATGCCTTGCCGGATTCACTTCCACCCTGGTTGGAGTTAGAAGAGCTGCTGATGAACGTGGGAGGTAGCCATGCCGACACCGGGGTCGATGCCGACAGAGAGTGCGAGCGGCGGTTTTCGTGGGTTTTCGTCCGGGGGCAGGCATGAACGAAGCAACGCTTGCAGAGTGCCCTTCAGGCGTCCCAAATCTCTCCAGTGCTCATCACCTACTAGGACCCTTCAACCGGTGTGTCCTGTAGAGAGGTGCCCAGAAATTCACCTGTTAGCTCTGCAGATCCCAAAAGCCATCCTCCGAAAGCTCCCAGACTGATCAGTGTGGTCGTCGCAGTGAGTGGCCACTCCGCATGACAGGGGTTTTCAAGGGGGGGTTCGCATGACTTCCACCAGGCACAGTGGAAGAGCTGGTGAAGCCTGGACCTCTCTTCGTGGATGACCGCGTGAGCACCTTCTCGGTGTGCAGCCCCGACAGCAGCGTCAGCGTGCTTGAGGCGCTGGCGAAGCAACGGAGCCGGAGTTGTTGATCCGTCAAGTAACCAAAGACAAGACCACACGTGATCGCTGGTCCACATGTTGATGCTTTGGCTGTTGCTGTTGCTGTTGCTCCTGCTGCTGCTGCTGCTGGTGCTGCTGGTGCTGCTGGTGCTGCTGGTGCTGCTGGTGCTGCTGCTGCTGCTGTTGCTGCTGTTGCTGCTGTTGCTGCTGTTGCTGCTGTTGCTGCTGCTGCTGGTGTTGTTGTTGTTGTTGTTGTTGGTAGAGACAAAAACAGCTGCCCAACATAGTTGTCGCATGTTGCAAGTCAGGGATTTTAAAGGGACACTGTTAGGGATAGGGTCGAAGGTTTGGAGAGATGTTAGTAGCTGGACTTCTTGTCGTTGTGGTGCTCAAGTCTTGGTTGGTCTGTTTCTTGGTTTTTGATGTTTTTTGGGGTGTTGTTCTGGAGGGGGGGGTCAAAAAACAACAACGGGGCTGCAGATTTTGTTTCTAGGGGGGGTAGAGACAACAACATCTTTTGAGGGGGGGGTCCAAAAAGCAAAAAACAACAACAACGTGGCTGCAGTTTTTGTCTCTAGGATGTGGTGGAGGTTCTAAGTAGAAGTTTTACAGAGGCCCCGCTGACCGGACTACTACTACTACTACTACTACTCCTACTGCTACTGCGACTGCGACTACCACTACCACTACCACTACTACTACTACTGCTACTACTGCTACTACTGCTACTACTACTACTACGACGACCACTACAACAACGACTACTACTAGTACTAGTACCACTAGTACTAGCACTAGTACAAGCACTACCACTACTGGTAAAAGTACATGTTGGCTGGTTGTTTTGTGGGGGGGTCAAAATAACAACGACGGGGTTGCAGATTTTGTTTCCACCCCCTTGCAGTTTTTGTTTGTACCTTCTTGGTAGAGACAAAAGCAGCTGCCCAACATAGTTGTCACATGTTGCAAGTCAGGGATTTCAAATGGACACTGTTAGGGATAGGGTCAAAGGTTTGGAGAGATATTAGTAGCTGGACTACTTGTCGTTGTGGTACTCAAGTCTTGGTTGATCTGTTTCTTGTTTTTTGATGTCTTTTGGGGTGTTGTTCTGGAGGGGGGGGCCAAAAAGCAACAACGGGGCTGCAGATTTTGTTTCTAGGGGGGGTAGAGACAACAACATCTTTTGAGGGGGGGTCCAAAAAACAACACAGGGGCTGCAGTTTTTGTCTCTAGAGGTTCTAAGTAGAAGTTAGAAGCTTTTCAGAGGCTTAGCTGACCGGACTACCACTACTACTACTACTACGACTACTACTACTACTCCTGCTACTACTGCTACTACTACTTCTACTTCTACTACTGCTACTGCGCCTACTATTACTACTACTACTGCTAGTATTACTAGGCTGCTTCCACTTCTTCGACTACTACCACTGCTACTACCACTACTACTACTACCACCACTACTACTACTACTACTACCAGTATTACTACTACTACTACTGCTACTACTATCACTACTACTACTACTACTTCTACTACTACTACTACTTCTACTAGTACTAGTACTAGTACTAGTACTACTACTACTACTAGTACTACTACTACTACTACTACTAGTACTACTACTACTACTACTGTTACTACTACTACTACTACTACTACTACTACTACTACTACTACTATACTACTATACTACTATACTACTATGTTACTATGCTACTATGCTACTATACTACTATACTACTATACTACTACTACTACTACTACTACTACTACTATACTACTACTACTACTACTACTACTTATACTTACTACTTACTACTTACTACTTACTACTTACTCCTTACTCCATACTACTTACTACTTACTACTTACTACTTACTACTTACTACCTACTACCTACTACTTACTACTTGCTACTACTTACTACTTACTACTACTACTACTACTACTACTCCTACTACTACTACTCCTACTACTACTACTACTACTACTACTACTACTACTACTACTACTACTACTACTACTACTTACTACTAGTACTACTACTACTACTACTACTACTTACTACACTTCCTACTTACTACTTACTACTTACTACTGCTACTACTACTGCTACTACTACTACTACTGCTACTACCACTGCTACTACTGCTGCGACTACCACTACCCACTACCACTACCCACTACCACTACGACTACTACTACGACTACTACGACGACGACGACGACTACTACTACTCCTACTCCTACTCCTACGCCTATGCCTACGACGACTACTACTAGTACTAGTACCACTAGTACTAGCACTAGTACAAGCACTACCACTACTGGTAAAGGTACATGTTGGCTGGTTGTTTTTTTGGGGGGGGCAAAATATCAACGACGGGGCTGCAGATTTATTTTCCACCCCCTTGTAGAGACAAAGGAACAAGATATCTTGTAACGGGGCTGCAGTTTTCGTTTGTACCTTGATCTTGTTGTTGTTGTTCTTGTTCTTGTTTTTTCCATGACAAGGTTCGCCAATGCACCCGATCCTCCCGCTCTAAATGGCTGACTGTTTCACCTCCTCCATCACCGCCACGCAGGCCACTGATCACGCTCTCCTCCCCGACTCGCAGGCAGATGGGGCCGGGGGGGTGTGCTCAAGTGGTGTTGATGTTGCTGTACAGATGGGAGGGACTATATAGATGAAGATCTCCTGTGGCTGCCAGAGATCCAAAAAGATCGACACCTTTAGCAAGAAGCCCCCAGGCGTCTGCTGGGGGAGGCAGGGCCCAGCCAGAAGAAGAACCATCGACCATCACAATCTGTGACACTGAACCAAGTCTTATTTGAGCCAAGACATTATACTTACAATTTTGGACATAAACTTCAAAACACTCAGAATAAACTATACCTGGCATACCGGCATTCACACCTAGCTTGAGTACGCAAATCATCGATAGCTGGTGGTTCAGTGACTTGATGTTGGCGACTTACTGGGTTCATTCCAATTTTTTTGCATGTGCTCGAACTTCCTGTATTATCATTGAACAACTTCTCTTCCAAGTTATAACCTGTGCCGATTGAGGCGGTTCCTTCACAAAACTGGTTACTAAGATGAAACGAAAGGAGTGCCAGCGAGAGCTAGACGCCAAGAATACATCTTAGATCATCTTAGAGTCTTAGAATCCCATGGATGAAAAAGAAACCGCAACAACATACTGATAGAACATGTTTTGATCAGTCGATACTTCCTCTCTCTCTCTCTGTCTGTCTTTCTTTCTTTCTTGCTTTGCTGACGCGACGCTTTCCCTGACTCAGGACGCCACCTTGGCCCTGCCAACGCTCGTTCCCACGTCCCCGACCAACGCGGACTCCGCGGCGCATCCCGCGGCGCGGGATGCGCCGCCGACGGGGCCGCGCTTCGCCTTCGGCGTGGCGCGGTACATCGCCTCGCTGCACGTGGTTTTGGGTCACCTGAATGCCCGCGGACTGGCACCTTCCTCCGTGTGGCCCGGATTTTCTAATTGGAGGGGAGGGGCTGCAAGTGGGGGGCGTTTTGGGAGGGAAAGTAGGTGATGAACGTGTGGGTCCATGTCGATGAACCGGTGGCGGAACTTGATCGGAACAAATGGCGGGAAGAAGAGGTGTACGAGCCAGCCTCCTCCGAAGATTTCCGAGCCAGCATTTCTTTTGCTTGTTGCCAGCCAGGGTCAATATACAACACAAAGCACATGTCTAACGTACACAAACACAAAAATTACTTGCAAGCTGAACAGGCACCTGCAAACTTGACAGGTGAACAGCGAGGTTGTGGAAACAATCCATTGTTCGCATCGGAGCGTGTTGATCATGATGCCTGATTCTGCGCATGCACAGATACTGTATATACTGTATACAAATACAACAAACACCGCGTTTTGAAGGTTCACCAGTGTTCAGTCACAAAAGAGCTGTTTTCAGTCACTGGGCTAAAAGTTTTGGAGATGTTGGTTCCCACAAGGGTCTCTTTTCTCCGAAAAGAGGAAAACAGGTGTGGCTGCCGTGTGGATACCTAGGTATCTCTGCTGCTGGGGCTACACCTGGGTGCCGTGGTTCTTCATGCTGAGCGGCTTCATCTTATGCGCTGCGGAGATGAACAAGCCGCGCCAGGTGCCCGACGCTCGTCGGGGGCGTCCCGGCCCGGCCCGGTTTTCTGTGTCACATGGTCAGGGTGTAATCTGCTAGTTGCAAGTGAGGGCGCCACATTGACATAGGAAGGATGGGGGTCACCTGGATGGCATTTGTCAACATAACTCATAAATCAGTATCATAGAGTCCCGACTTGCCAAGGCACCCATTGTCGCCCCGGGGTTGGTGATTCATGCCAAGTCTGAAAATGCACCGGTGTGTGGTTCCACCGTCACGTAACCAGCCGGACCAAACCCCTCGCTGTTTTAGCAGGGTTTCCTGATAAAACAGTTGACTGTCACTTGGGGGCCCTGGGGGTGATGTGGGGAGAACCCAATGTCATAGCCTTGTAGAATCTTCTCATGCCAACATCTCAACAAGATGAGTCGTTTACCGCGGGTGCCCACAACGGTTCCCTCCTACGTGTCGCGGAGGAGGGGCCTGTGGAATATGTGGCCAGAAGACTGGCCTGGGGCCCCGGGACGAGAAGCAAGGATGACTTGAGACAAGACCGCTGGGCCCACGGGGTTTCTCGCACAACTGTCTCTGTGCAGTGGTTGCCCTCAGCAAAGCGTAAGGCAAACACGAACCTCAACCAACGGGTCTTGGTCTATTTCTCTTCTTGCGGGTCCAACTGGGACGTCTCGCTGGTCTGTTCGCACACACCCGGATGAAGAGAACGCCACGGACCTCCCACGCCGAACGAACGCGTGGGGAGCGATCTGAAGCGCCGCCTGGTACCAGAAGCTGTTCTTAGCTCTTCAAGGATCGTTGTGCTTGATTGTCCCCTGCCTTCGTTCTTTTCAGCCAGCTCCACTGGCAAACTGGGTGATTTAGCTGGGGGTCCCATGATGGCAGCCTGCTTGGAGAAAGACCGCTGCACTGCTTCTTGCAAGAAAGATGTCCACATCCTGATTAGTGCATGGCTGCATATGGTTGCCGAGGTCACCATATATCCTGTCTATGCCTTTGGCCTCCTCCTCTCCGCCTGTTTAACCTCAGCAGGGCCTCCCTGCTGGGTTTTGGTACTGCAGGCTCGATGCACGATCGGTGATGGCATTGGAAAAGCTAAGGGTGTGAAGCACTCATCACTAGAATATGGACACCATTTTCTTGGATGGATGCTCATCAATTTCCCGTGTTCAGACAGGTTTCGAACATTGAGGCTAGGGTTTCAAGGATGGATGTGACCACAGATGTGTTTTCTCCAAAGGCCTGGTGGCAAAACGGCAATGCTAGACACTGAGCCAGAGGAATATGGTCTACCCAAAGAGTCGTTCCAGACATCATCTCCTCAGGGTGCAACAGAACCATATCCTGGTCGAACCCCCCTGTTCAAACGAATTGTCAGTGAATGATCCCCGTCTGGATCAACTGCTAGTTGGTGACACCACTGAAACTGTTGGAGTTACAACTTGCATCGATTCGCCGAAAAGCACAGAGAAAGTTGACTGGTCTCAGAGAGACTTTCCTGCCAACGCCTGTATTTTTGCCGTGAATGCTGCAGGAATGAACGTGCATGGCGAGCGCAAGAAACATGAATAGTATTGAAGATAGTGTTGTATAGATAGTGCAAATGCAAGAAAGTCCAAGCGCTCAAGAGTGCGAAGGAAACCACTTTCGGGAAGCAGTTTCCCGTTTGGTCCCGCCTTTCAGACCAAAAACTGGCCAAGCAGACCACAGCGACTTCAGCGCCTTCCCATCAATCTCCGCTCACTCGTTTTTGCATCGGCGCCAGCGCAGGCCTGGCTTTTGCAGGCCTGGGTTCCGACCATCACAGAGTGGGGCCTTCAGATGCAGCGTCTCGGCGCGAATAGGATGACTCTGGGTGGACCACACGCGCTGAACCTTGCTTTGGGGAGGCAGAAAAGGCCTTCTCTTTGATGTCTCTGATTTGGGTTTCCCCACCTGAGATTGGCCTTGGAGTTACGGCAGGGGCAGGGCGATTACCATGCATTTTCCCATGATTCTCCTGTCTTTTGGGCTCCCAGTTAATCCACAAATGCAGCGTTGGTTGATTGATTGACCTCTGATCTCGTGGTCTCGAGTTAAGTTACAGTTACGCTTTTTCCCCCACCAGCTTGGCAGGGCATTGCACGAGCATACGACTTTGTAACCCTCCTTAAACGACCATCTATCAGCCAGTATGAAGGTTTTTGTTACTAGACGTTTGGACCGTTTTTTTTGATTCCCCAATCTTTTGCTTTTGCTACGAATGAGTGTTTTTGCGCGTGGTGGCGCCGCCCTGCTTCAAGGTGCTGGTTCTTGTCCTGCTTGGTCGTCTACTGGGCCATGTTTCCCTTCCTTTTTGGGAGTCTTGGACAGCAGCAGGTGCGCTTGTTGGGTGTCCATCTATGTCCATGGCCCAGTCGAAGTGCAGGGAAGAGCCGGGGTGTGTTGAGTCAGGTGGATGGCCGCTTTGGTGAATCTCTTTGGACAACACTTCCAAGTGCCAGTGCTTGCCTGGGAATGTAATACAACATAGTACAACCCAAACAGTGAACAGGTTGACTAGATTGCATAAGAACGCCAGTGATGTTGTAGGAGAAACCCTGCACCACTTCAGATGGGATCATCCCAGCAGCCAGCATTTGTGGAATTAATCATGAAGGGTAATTACGTGGTTCTCATTTTCTCTTTGTCTCCATTTCTCCATCTGTCTCCATCGTTTGTAGGACAAGGTTTGACTATCCTAAACTGATATCACCTACAGCCTACAGAAGCCGCGAGGCGAAATCCTCGGGTTGCATCGAGGCAGAACATCGTAGACCAATCGACCTCTGCGGATGAGAGATTGGGGCAGATCGGGTTTAGGGGTACATCTTTTTTTCACGTTGAAACTAGAGACTGCTGTGGCAGGTGAGTGTTAGTAGAAGAATCGGAACTCATCTCGATTCGCATGATTTCGGTATTCAAGCTGTTCTGCAGCAAAAAAGCATGCCTATGTAGCACCAGGGATCAGGTTTAGTGCAAAACTTTGCCTGTGCAAAACTTTGCCTCTCCAGTCTGCCTTGTTTTGGCATCCATTTGTCCGCCACCCCAACAAGGCCCATGCCCATGTGCCCATGTGCCTTTGAGGATGGTCCATCGAATGACCATGCCACAGGCAGGGTGCATGATCAGGGCACGTCTTGGACCGGCCGGAGGATGTGGGTGACTCTTCACATGACGAGTACGGACACCAGGAAGATTTACCTCGCGCTTTGGAACCCAATGTGGTTCCTTGTTGTCATGAACTACGCATCCTCCTTTCACAAATTCACCTTTTGGGCATGCCTTAAGAGGAGGACCTCCAGGTTTTCGTCATCGACGGCAACAAGGGCGTGGTAGATGGAAAACCACGTTAAACACCATCCCCCTCTATCAACGGGGCAAGCAAGTAGTAGATGGAAAGCCACGTTAAGCACCATCACCGTACGTCGGCGTTCCTTTTTTTGGGGGGTAGGGAGGGCCTCCGGAGCTTCCGGGGCCCTTCCTACCCCGCCCCGGGAAATTCTACAAATTTGGGGCAGTGATTGCACCCCCTTGTTCTGCTGGCTTGCCCAGGCCAGGCAGACAACATGAGGGCAAATACCTGGCGACAGATACTCCAAGACGAGTCGCCTGTTAAAGTCGTTTGTTGGTGCCCAACGAAAAGGGACTGAGGGAGAACTATGAGAACTGACCCTCAATAGTGGTCGTCTCTTGAGATGGTATATATATATATATCAGTTTTGAGTCTCAAGGTTCGTTTGGTTTATCGATGCTCTCTTTTTCGGGACTCGCTCTGATTTGGACTGCCGGTGCTGTCCCTTGGAATTCGTGGCCGGGGCTGTTGTGCAGGCCGCCGTTTTTGCAGCACTTTCGGCCTGGGTCATTTTTCACACCGGGAAGCCTTTTATTCATGTACATTTACAAGGGTGTGATGAGTGATCCGCAGCTGACCCTACAGTGTTGTTTGAACATGGTTAACAAGCATACACTTTGGTTTGCCTGAAGTAGACACTCACACCCGTGGCCAGTCCGAACGGATTGCACTGAAGGTTGTGGGAGGGTTCCCTCAAGTGTGCAAGACATGCGGGACGGTCCTGGAAGTCCAAAGAGTAGAGCTGATGGAGTGCTTCCAACCCAACCAGTCACAGTCAAGTTCTTTTTTTGACCCCACATGAACAAAATCAAGTGGATAGCATCTAGCTCAAAACACTTAGGACCTAGGATTTGCCTTACATGGCTCATGGATTAGACCCCATCGGGCAGGTGTGTTCGCAGCTGCTTTTGTGTGCTGACGGCCCCCACGGCCCCTTCTTTATTCCCCCAAGAAGCCAGCATACAAGCAAGAGATTCATCACTGCAGATGGCCCTTGGCGGCTGACTCCTGCCAGAGCATGTGGTGTTGGGTGTGTTGCTCAGGCGATACTTGGAATGGTGCTTGCCGTTTGCGTACCAATCCTCTACTTGCTCATCCCGGATTTGTTCTATGGAAACGCTTCCTGGTATGTAGCTCGGCATCAACAATTGGTCGAAGAGACAGGGAAGCTGCTACTGCGACGGAAACCAGTCACAGCTCGGTGGCTTTATCCATGACACATGCAAAGGGATCAACCATTTTGCCAAATCCACACATGTCCTTGTTTGCACCCCCCATCAACAGTTGTGTAGTTCCAACTTCACGACCGCAACAGACACCCGTTTTCAATGAGAACCAAACAACAACACCCAGTTTGTTTAGCCACCATCGAGATCTCGCCCTTTCTTTGCCTCGGTCTCGTCCAAGGAGTATCATAGTTGGGGCCTCATGAGGAACTTTGAGGACTCCTTGGTGGTGATGTTGAAGTTCCATCCCATGTGCAGCTTGCCCACCAGCAGATGGCTGCAGGGACGGACATCCGAATGGCTTCACCACAGGGCTTCGTCCGGTGAGGGCAGAAATCCAAAGCAATCAATTTAAGTATCGAGTCCTTCATTCGGATGTAAGAGATAGCTGTGGGTTTGGGAGAAAGGGCTTGTTTCCATTTTGCTGAATTGTGCTGTTATTTTCCCCTGCTTGATCTTTGTGATAAAGTGCAAGTCCATCTACTGAGAGTCTGAGGGTCTTCACAGCTGTGGTGAACGCGTTGGGGTGGGCAGACGAGGAGTTGAAACACGTAGACACTCTCCACAAAACTTCCTCCGAGAGCTGGTCAGAGGAAAAGGTGTGCAATTGAAATCAAGACTCTTCGAACAGAAAAAGATCATCTACGTACATGACACTAGGAACGGATTGGTATGCGGGTGAAGAGCTTCGCATTGCACGATTTCTTCATGTTCTTGTCACTGAAATACTGCAGACCCAGGATGAGGCATAGGTCATGCTCCACTTGAAGGGCCCTGTTTGCGGAGCATGACCTGGTGATTAGCTCAAAGATGATCTGGCCAATCTCAGCAAAAGTCGAGGCTATGTTCACGTCTTCCTCTTGGGCATGCTGCTGGCTCGATTTCGAATCCTCCTGCCGGGACACTCGATGTCCCTTTTCCCCAAACTGACATTTTAAACGTTAGTGAATCCCTTGAAAAACGCGTTATACATGGCCTCTACATGGTTGAGGATCACTATAGCAACAAGCTCCTTTGCAGGGGGTTCTTTCTGGACAAGTTCTCAAGGCCGTTCTGCATTCATCAAGAGCATTACCAGCAAAATGAAGCGGTGTAGTTCTTCAGCGCTGTAATCTGGCTGATGCTGACTCATGGGAAGAAACATTATTATGCCATGCCACTGTGGTTGAAGAATGCCGAGAGCACACCTTGTTCAAAGACTCCGAGCATCCAGAATCTCCTCAAGCCGAGAACCTTGACCTACCACGGTTTGCTGACACCACTGTGCCGATCGCATGAAATGAGGGCATATCATAAATCATCATAAATCCTGATCAACCCACCGATACAAAGGAAGACACTGAGTCTTCTCACTGCTGACACGGCCCGAGGCATGACATTGCCGGCTTCAAGGCTGGCCACTTCAAGACATATGCATACATATGCGGTATACGGCCCATTGAGAGATTCCGATGATGGTGACATGCTCAGTATGACAAAGCATGCTCCCCCAAAACAATTCGAGGCGGTACTTGTAGAGGAAGGAAGTTGCGCGCAAGATTTGGACATATGCACGCGGGATATCGCGGGATCATGCGGGTAATGCGTGTTTCGTGCATTTGTTTGGAGCATTCATCCCCTGAAAAGATGCGTTCAGACGCGCTCAGCCATTTGGCTGCGCGCAACCCAGAAGTTCTTGAGTTGGCAAATCGTGGAGCTTGCAGTAAGCTTCTATTTTAACCCCGGCTTAGTTCCTCCGAGCGACGGCAACCACCCGCCGCGTGCGTGCGTGCGTGCCCCGATGGGACTCGCCTTGTCGACCCCACGGGGGCGGTGGCTCCGTCGGAAGGAGCTGCCAGTGATCATGGACTTTCTGGCGCCCGTGGGTTACCTGGGGCTCCTCTTAGCCGCTTGGGCAGCGGAAAGTCCGGAAGGGTGAAGGGTGAGTCTGGAGGGTGCTGGTTCTGGGAGAAAACATCAAAACAACCATTTAAAGACATCATCTAGATACCTGGCGACTTGGAGAGGAGGTACTTTTTGCTGGTGCTTTTCGAGAAGTGAGAGCAGAGCCGGTGATTCTCTTTGAGGTGGGGAGTTGTTCAATGACCGGCCGCAGAAAATAGAGGAGTCAGTTCTAAATGTCGATTGTTGATTAATACAAAAAGCCCTAGCAGCCAGCAGGCTTCTACATCTCAATATGTGGTGCTTTAGAAACAGTAGAAACCTGATTGATTGTTGTCTGTTGATTGAAGCCTGGGCCTCTTTATGACACTCCACGAGACAACATTAGAGGCCCAGGCTTCTTCCAGATCCCTCTGCCGAGGTCTTCAATGTGCCAATGGCTGCACCGCCCTATGCGAAGCTTTCAGCGCGGATCTTCGCGCTGCTGCCACTGCAGGTGGGAAGATCAAGTAACCAGAGGAGATGCGACTGGAGGATGTCACAGAGACTTCTCTTTTAGGTGATCAGCGTTCTTGTGTTTGGGCACTTGGAACACATGGGTCAGTCAGTCTTCTGGTACGTTTCAACGGTCATTTGCAGCTGCATCACCCGGATCATCCCTGGTGGCATCCACCTCTTCGCTGCGACTGAGGCGGCAGTGGTGTTGGGCTTGGCGGGTGTGGAAGGCCTTCGGGAGCCCTTCTTGGCCAGGTTCTTCGCGCGACTGAACTTCTTGGACGCTGGGCGGATGTAGAAAGTGTTTCTCTTCAGCGGCGAGGGATTTGGTGAACTTGTGGGACGCGTTTGCCTACGGTTTGAAGACCCGAACCAATTGAGTCGCTGGGGCATCTGGGTTGCGAGTTCGAATGCAGCTGTGCCTCTTGGGGTTCTGGTGAGTGCACCTTGCACATCCCAACATGCCCACCATAGATAATCTTCAGTTGTTTTCAAACCATGCATCCAAAGATAGGGGGTGAAATAGTTATTCCATGTTGTTCCCAAATCTCTTGGGTAAAAACACCAGGCCTTGAGAAGAATATGCCTGGTGGTTTAAGTCTTCGTATCTTCGTATCTTCTGACAAGCTGCTTGATCGTATCACACTAATCTGTCCAAGGAGACTTATTCCTATTGCGTCTACGTGATGCAGTTCATTTGCATGAAGCTTTGGTTTGGCCAGGAGCGTAGAACCCCTCCGCGCGGGTAGAACCCCGTCGTCGACGTAGGCGGGGTCGTTCTTCAACACCCAACACCGAAGCTTTAAAAAAAGGGGTTCAGGGATATTGCAACCGATGCAGGAAGAGATTGTATTCATTTGTTTTCAACTTTTACATAATTTGAATTTGTTTTTGCAACCTGGCAACCTGCCATTCTTGGTAATTAACAGGGGTTGAGGAGGTTCAAGACGTTGAACAGCGGTATCGAAACCATGTTTTTCTCAACCTTCAAGCGGACGCCCATGAGGAGTCACTTGTGAAGCCTTTAGAGTATCCAGGATCAGCTGTCCGGAAGAGGGACTCGGGACACGGTATGCTGAGCCAAACGGAAAGCAAAAGCACCATCAAAAACCAGGGGAAAGGAAAAGAACAATATTTTCCGACGTCTGGAATTGTGCGGATGTTCATTGTTGTGAGAGTACCTGCACTATTGTGCCAGGAGATTGTAATCCAGGGATGCTGTTGTGAACTTTTGAGAAGTATAAGTATAGTTTTTTCTTTCTGATGAAAGTTGCTCGGAACAGCCAGGCTGTATACAATTGTCCTGTCAACCATGCCAAGGCCCAAGAGTGTAAAAGTTCTTTGGTCAATCAAACTAGACGTCAAGCAGTCCTCAGGTCAGACACGTCTGTGCAAAACCTAGCCGACCTAGCTCACTAGCCTGGAGCTATCTACTTTCATCAGGAGTATGATCTGTCCTTCTTCATTTTCCTCATTGCGAGTGCCACCTTTGTTCAAGTCTTTGTCCGGACACCCAGACCGCGCAGCGCGACAGCACGACAGCTGCTGTTTTGACATCGGCCGTGCGGTTAGAACCACATGGGGTTGTCCAACAAAGCTCTTCTTTTTGAGCTTGTATCGCCGGCCTTTCGCGGTCCTTTCGCGTTTGCAGAAAAACCACAGGTGTTCCTTTCGCGCATTGTGATAAGCTTGTTCCATTGCACTGAGTTCACAGTGTTTGGGATATCTAAACAAAGGTTTCAAGGCCATGGATGGGCAGATGCCCTTCCAGGCAATGCGCCCTTTCGCGGGCCTACCGCCGGCCTTTCGCGGCCCTTTCGCGAAAATCCGTGTTTCTGTTCGGGAAAAAGGATGTGTCATGTATTGTCATGTATTGTAATGTTATGCGCATTGTATGTTATAAGTCTAGGTTGGCACATGTCTTTCGCCGTCCTATCGCCGGCCTTTCGCGGACTGCAGTTTCCCTTTCGCGACATGTATGTTTTAACATTTCATCTAAATTCCTTCACTGGCAATAACGGACGGCCCCGCCTGCTCCCTCAATACACATCACTGAAATGAGAATTAAGTAGAATCAAGATAAGGATCTAGAGGGAGGCGCGCCAAGAAGTTTCAGTGAATCTTGGGTTCCAGGCAGCTTTCAGAGAAACCCATCAAATGTTGGTCTGTGCGGTTCAGGATGGCTTTTGAATGGATTCTGGAACCATTTCAGGTGAGGTCCCACCAGGTTGCAGATCGGATCCGAAAGGTTCTAAGCAGGCTCTGAGAAGGCTCTGAGAAGGCGGATGCCACTGATGGCAACGATGGCTCGGGGATTCCAAATGGAATTTGATTGGTTCCGCATTCTATCTACTACTGGAGGATGATGGCTTTATGCACGTGAGTCAAAGCCTCATATCCATGTGCCCAAAGTGAACAGAAGAGTCTGGGCAGGAGATGTTCACCTAAGTACTCTATGCCCAAAGTTTGTAAGTTCTGGCCCAGATCAACCATAGTGAGCAGGTGTGGTTATTATATAATGTTGCTTACACATAGAGCTTTGTAAGGGTATGTAAGGGTCGTACCTTTTCTCTCCGGACGACCCGGACTCCACATCCTTCCACCCCCGCGATGAAACTTTCGGCGCTCAACAAGCTTTGCTCTTCGGCGGGCACGTCTTTCGCTCTTTGGCGCTTGGGACCGTCAGGTGCAAAAGCCTTCGGACAAGCTTTGGAGGCTCTCGCCCGGTCAGGCCGGAGCCGGTCTCGAAACCGGTCCGATCAATCCTGAATCGGCGGCGACGTGATGCCGTCGATCCGGACCGGTCGTTGTCCGCACGCTGAAGGGATTGGTTTGGGACGCTGTTAGTTTTCGGAGATGTGAAAGGTGTTCACAAGGTGTCGCCAAAGCCGTGGATTTGTGGCGAAGTCAACACCGATTTGACGCAGTGAGTTTTTTTTCCCATCCGATGATGGTCGATCGATTTGGTTGAGTTCTACTCTTCCCCAGGCTGTAAAACCCAGCTGACTCTGTAAATGACGCTGTTCGACCCTTTGAATACGAGAAAAACGAACGTCGTGGTAGCCCGGGCGTCGAAGGAGTGCGTGGAGGGTCCTGACTTCGTGCTTTTGAATGATCGGTTTCCTAGGCTTGGGACAACTCAAATTCACATCGATCAATCTGTGTTGTCATTTGTGATATGAACATCCTTCCCGCAGAGCGGAAAAAGTCAGTTCTGAGGCATAGGTATAGGTTGCAGTTCTTTCCTCCTTCAAAGAGGATCCGTACAGTATCTCAAATATATAATTGAACTGCGCAGATCAGCATCCGATTGCCCTGCTCCTCGGATGATCCGCTGATCTGCTCCACGGCCTCTTGTTTTCTCTCCCATGCTCCAGGCCTCTTGGCTGGTCCCTGCGGTGATGTCGCTGCTGCTGATCCTCCTCTCGTGGCTTGGCGAGACACAGTAAGTGGGATCAAGTGGGCTTCCACTCACTGATTGTTTGCACACAGGGTGATTTGGAGGCCAAGTGGTATGAACTAATGAATGGCTTTGGCACGAAGATGTCGTAGGTTTGGGTGAGTTTTTCTATTTTTATGTTGACCACACAAGACAGCAGCAAGACGCCAGAGTTGGACATGGGTGAAATGAACTTTTTTGATGGATGTGGGATGACGCAAGGCACAAAGAGTACACAGTGCCGTGCTCCTTGACCATCTCCGAAGACCCATGGGCGTCTTACACTCCGGAGTGACTCCAGACCCATCCACGGGCCTTTATGGGTTCCAGCAGATGAAGATCAAATGAAGGGACACGTTGAGGATGCTCTTTTCTTGCTTGGGAGCTGGAGGACTGGGGCAAGTGCCCCCAAAAAGATCTCACTTGGAAGCAACGACAGCGGGCAACAAAGAGATGCCCTTCTTAGGTGCTCCCATATGTGCATACAGGGGGTTGCTTCCAACAGGATGGGACACAATCGCTGGATATCGCTGGATTCTGTTGGCTTGGGACATTTGGGAAAGGTCAGTGAATCGGACTTCAACAATACCATCACGTCGGACACAGATCCCAAGCCTCGAGTCCGGCTTTTCGTTGCTGCTCCTCCCCAAAATGAATGCAACATGACGCAGAGCCACAGAGCCCAGAGTCATTTCTGGTGTTTTGCTGGACCTGCGGCGACCGGGTCTACCCCCCCCCCCCCGGTGGCGCCGCCGCACGTGGTACCGGAGACGGCGCTTCAGGTTGCGGTGGACGGGGGTTCCGGACTGCCGGGTGGGGGTGAAGGGTGAACGGGAGGGGACACAGCATTGAGCTGGTCAAGAAGAGGTTGGGGCTTGGTGATCCAAATGGCTTCTATCTACAGTTCTCCTCCCGAAAACGGTTGGTGAAATCACCCAGATCAGATCAATCGGCTGGCTATGTCCAACAAACATGTTGTTGGGCACTTTTGTGGGTTCCTTGTCATTTCTCGGTGGTCACTTTTCCTGGATTCCTGTGCTAGAGACCTCTCGTTTTCAACTATGCCGATCAGACGTTTTCTGCGGATGGTCCAGGCATCTGACAGGGCGCTGATTGGCTCCATAGCTTTCGACAGGAACTGGGCACAAACTGGAACAACCTCTGAACTGGAACAACTAGCTCCACAAGAACTGGAGCTGAAGGAGCTCCCCAAGCAATCCCAAGCACCCTTTATTTCCGAGACCATCCTGGAAGACCTCCCTTTCGAAACATGACACCTTTGAGGTAACTCAAAGAGGCTTAAGAAGGCTTATCAACCATCTTCTCCTCAAGAAGCGGCTTGGAGAATTCGTTCAATCCGAGAGCGGTGCTGCAGGACCATGTGCTACCGGATAAAGTGGAGGGAGATGGCTACATGGATATCCGTTTGCCTTTGCGATTGGAAGCACAGGAGCAGCTTGAGGTTGAGCGGATGACTCAATGCCCAAGACCAGCACACGCATTTGCTTTTCCAGGAATCAAGGGGACTGTTGCACCATAATTACCGACTGGATTGTCCTATAGACTTGGAATGGAGAACAGCAGTTTGACATCGGTGGCAGGGCTTTGTTTTGGCCGAGCCGTTGACACTCGCAGCTTTCACCAGGTGAGTTTACAGTTTACCCAGCACTTCCTGTCTGGGTGCCCTGTCTGACCTATTTACGTAGGGCCTAGGGCCTAGGGCCTAGGGTAGTCTATGACACCCAGACAGGATGATCCTGGTCTTAGTTGCCTTGGCCAGGACTGGTCGGCCACGGGCGGTGGAGCCACTGGGCCACGGGAGAACGGCCGGGCATGCATTGGATGGTGTGGGACATGAACGGAACGGCCTTCTTTTAACATCCAGAAGGTCGTGGTTTTTAAAAGAGATGTTTCTTTTTGGGGTTTGTCAAGAGAGTGTTTTTGGTTTGTATATGTTTGTATCTTTTCCATTCTCAAGACCTTGGCTTAATATATTAATTATGCTATGTGATGTTGTCTTGGGGACATTTCGCAGTGTGGACTATCAACTGTACATTGAGCAAGGTGGCGCACGGAAGAAACCACAAGGGACATCACGGGACGTGGTGCGGCGTTTTAGACTGACGGTGGAATGACGACCGTGTGGAAGATCTTTAGATGTGCTCCTTGGTCGCCCGTGGCCCTGTGCGGGGATTCTCAAGGACCTTTGGTTCTTCTTGTTCGAACGCATCACGGACGATCTCGCCATGGCCATGGATCCGGAGAAGGGGTCCATTTCGGTGTTGGGCAGGCCAGTGGATGATCCGAGGGCACCGATGTCAACGATAGCTTTTCAGGAGACACGGGAGGAGCTGAATGGGAAGTCTTTGAGACTTCCAGAATGTAGCTATTCGACGCTTTTCCTCATGGTGCCGTGATGGCTACTTGGAGACTATGCCTCAGCTCGTCTTGGCCGTATGCTTGGTGGTCCTTGCCACCGCTACACCATCGAAGAAGATCATGGGCATCCGAAGATCATGGTCCTTCCGAAACTGGCAGTGGAGCTTTGGCTTCTTGTGGGCAGATTTCTGCTTACGCAGGGTGACACATGGAACATCCTGAACATCCTCCAGAATTTTCTGGCCGCGTGTTTTCTGACCGAATTTATAGAAATAAGCTTCAAGTACTTCTCATCAAGTACGAGCTCGGCAAAAATCCTGGAACCACAGGTGAAGGTTGTATCAAGGGTCGGCATGTGTCTAGCTTCCTACAAGCCGGTCTTCAAGCTCTTACTTTGGATTGGATTCTTGTGGCCATGCGTCTCTTGGGTTTTGTGCGTTGAGCAAAGACATACCCAGTATGCGCACCACGACTTTTATGACTTTGACACTGCAGAATATGCGCTGTGTGAGAGCCCGGTGTCCACACCTGGCTTGCAATTGTTGAACAACCCCGAAGATATGGCAGCCTATACCTGGGGCACTCAAAACCACAAGAATGCAGTTTTCACAGTCCTTAATTCTTGAATTCACTTTGGACATCTTTGGTACCTGGCATTGCTCCATGATAGCCTAATCAACGTTAGCTGTTGAACGAGATCAGCTGCCTCGCTGATTTTCACGCGCCCGTTTTTAGTCGGTGATTTTCGCTTGGCTGAATGGGGAAGAAAGAGCTGCTTGTGCCGTGATCCCTACACCAAACAGCCGAACAAGATTGAGCTGAAAGCCCCAACACGATTTCCTGTGATCAAAAAACAACGGGCTTTTCTTGGATCCGGCCTCGCAGAATTCGGTGTTCATTCCTTCGACGAAGTTGAGTTCGGGCAAAACCCAGCATTCCCGGGTTCTCGACCACTCCTTCTTAGATTCCCAGATAAATACCAAGATTCCCACTCCTTAGGTCCTCAAGAAGGGATGCCACTCCTTTTCCTCTTTCTGAATTTCAACCTTTTCGAACCCGCCGAAGCTGAAAGATCCTCTTTCCGGTCGCCGAAGCTTGGATTGTCCACGACGGGTTCGCTCGGGAACGGAACTCCGTGGGGAGCGGGCCGGGGTCGTCCTTGGTGGATCTAAGAGGTGTGATGTTCAGCCAGTCAGCAGTTTTGATTAAAAGAAAACATCACTCTAACAACATGGTTCATGATCGAAGTCTCAGATGGACGTCCATGTGATGGATGTCATCTTCATGGATTGCCCCTCGTCTCTTACGACGGCTCTTTGCGGAGAAGAGACACTCCGAGGCTTTCATCAATCCTTCGCTGACCTTGTTGGAGGATGGGCGCCTCGTGGTGGCCGCGCGCCTCCACAGGTGCGCGGGGATGGGGGTTCCAAAGCCCGGAGAGCGGAAGGTAGGTCAACCGGTCGGTCTCCTTCCGGGTTGACCAGTTGACCTCGGCTGGAAGGTAGGTCTCCGTGTTTGGCCTCACAGTCTCATAGCCATTGTTTTTGGCGCCAGCAGACAATGCAGATGCCTCTTTTCTTGGGGGTCGGGCCACGCTGTTCAGCCGAGCGTGGCGTGTGTTGGGTGGTTCTTTGTCTGGGGAGTACCTAGCTGTAGTGGCACAGGGGGCTTTTGCATGAGCAACTCGTTCGGCAAAAAGCACTGACCCGGTCAGCGGTCAAGGTCCTCATTCAGCACCATTCAGCAGGTGGTCATTGCTTTCCATCCCGCCCAAAAAGACCTGGACATGGATGTTCGTCTAAACCCGTTTTCCGGTTTGCACCACGGTTTTCCTCCGAGCTAATGTGATTCTGAGCTGCACTTCCCACATCTTCCGAGGGTCTCCCATCGATCGATTTCCCCACAGGCGGTCTTCTCACCTGAGCCATTTTCATGGTGGCTCCTTGCTGGAGGAGCGTCTGAGTCCCGGTCCAATTCGCGGATGAAAGGAGCGTGCTCCTGATCCTTGGAAAAGGATCCAGCTGATAAAAGTTCAAAGGACTTAAACTGTGACAATTTTTTAAAAATATCAACAGATAGAGACTCTGCGAAACAGCTTGTTAGATCGGTATCTCCAACACAAGGAAGGCTTCCGCCTTCAACCGCTAATTGTCTCCTTGAAGTGGACATGTTCATCACTGTAGACAGGGCCCGTCAATGTCGGATGTATCCTGCAGGAGATTTGGATCTCGAAGATCCTCCTCGGCAGCGTCGCCATGAACAACAAGAGTTGGAAGTTGCTCAACCGTTCCGGGGAGATGCCAGAGATCTTGCTGAAACTTTGGGACGGTCGCCTGCCGCAGAGAGCGCAACAGCTCTTTTGAGGGTGATGTTGGAGGGTATTTTTGGGGGGTGTTTCTTCCAGTGGCAGTGGTCGTATTTACAGTATTATCAATGTTAGATTTTGATGCCCCTCATGTTCATGTATATAAGCAGAAGCTCAAGCTCCTAACCAGATATCCAAAGCCTGGATTCTGGTGGCTTATTCAGTCGAGAATACTAGACCCCCACTCCATGGAAGCGCCGGCTTGGTTTGGGGATGATGGAGGTTTGCGCCGCCAGTGAGGCAGACCACTTGTTGGCACGCCCGAATATCATTCACCAAAGACATTCACGGTCCCAAGTCATGGCTCTTTGAGTTTCCTGCCTCCACTGCGCTGACAAAGTGTCATTCAGGAACCATGCCCAGGAGTCAAAGATTGTTAGGATTTTTCAACCTGCAGTCCCTGGCTGAGTTCCACCTGCTTCACCTTCAGACCACCAATTGCACCTAAGGTCTGCAAATGGCGGATGGCAAGCCATGGATCTATCCCAACATGTGCTACAGAGAGAAATGGCTCCCACAGAATCGGACCATGATGAGGCGTGGGCGGACGCGGGCGTGCGCAGCAAGCACCAGACATCCTAGATGGCTGGATTTGCCAGTGGAGTAGCCTCGAGGTGAGGGACTGTTTGGTACTTTTTCACCCTTCAAGCAATGGGTTTTGCGGCTTTGCATTTTGCTATCTCCCACCGATTTGGGACCTGGAATCCCCCCAGCATCATGCGTGAGGGATCAGAGAACTATTTAAACATTCGATCATGCACCATCTAGGGCCTCATAGAAGGCCAGACTGCCTGAACCGGGCAGAGTCGGACCACCACACCGGCCATGGGAGTCGAAAAACGAGCGAAAACCGGACCAAGTCAGAAGTCTCTTTCATGCCTAACTCTCAGGTCACTGAAGACCTTTTCCATCTTCACTTGCTTTAGGGCCCCTTCAAAGCTGTTGAATATAGAGCCTTCGCCCAAGCCGCTCACAGCCGATCAGGTTCGTTGTGACAGGGCCAGAGGACAGCTCGGGGCGTTTTTTCGTTGGGCGCCGCCGCGCCGCCGCTGCCGTGGGGGTCATGTGGCCACGCAGCTTTCGGCGTGTTTTTCCAGCCCAAAAGCAGCACGTCACTGTTGCAGGATCCCAAGGTCTTCCCCTTGACGCGAAAGGGCTCTTGTGCTGAGTCCATGGCAGGGTGTGCCTTGGTGCTGGGGTCGGACTGCCGGAGCGACTTTGCGATGATTGTGGACCGGAAGATTTGAGACTAACTAGAGTGAAGACCACCAGCCAGGTGAGTTCTAGAGGCAGCCAGGTGTCATGATTTTGCAGCCGGTCTTAATCTCCGGTCTCAGGCTTGCGATGTGGGAGTAGAGGATTTTTCAGGTCAGGTTCCGTTCTCTCTCTCTCTCTCTTTTTTTACTCAATCGACCCATTGAGATCCGGTTTTTTTCTACCCGATGAGCTCGCCAGACATGTGCTGTTTTTGCTGCCCAGGTTGGGTGCTGCGAGCTTCCTCAGACTTCTGCCAGACATCCCAGCTCTATTGGAGAGGATTTTTTTGTGTTGACGACTCCCCTGAAGAAACGACCGGTGGATGTGGCGGAAAATATTTGCCGACTAGGGGGCAGTAGTTTTTCTGATCATAATTACGTTCTCCCTGTCTGGGACATTCATACTTGCCCATGCTGAATACATACTCAAATGGGAATGGACAGCCCCACATAGGCACGTCATGGCATGTTTGACTGTAGGGGAGTGCCACTGAATTTCACGAGGGAGGAAGTTCTTCAAGGGTGACAGAGCTGGATTCCCTCTCAGAATTCACTGTGTTCACGGGCGAGCACCGTTTCCATGCGGAGAAGTCCGGCGGTTCCGTGCTGGTCGGTTGGGCGGTGGGGTACTTCTTGAAACGAAGGAAGAGACGTAGTGAACACATGTGAACACAGTGAACGACTGGCCTGGCACGCCCCGTAGTGATCAGAGGCTCCACGCCACCATTAAGAGTGTTCCTGAAGACATCTTAACACCAAAAGGCACAAGAACCCCTCTGAAAGGTTTCAATCCCACCATCACTTCTAGTGTCCTCCCATCCGGTGTCCTCCTAGAAAACCCCATCGAACCGATCGTTTGGCCGCTCTTTCTATCGTAGCGTCCTTGCTCCGTTCGTCGCGATGCCAGGTTCGCCCCTAGTAGTAGCGTCCTTGCTCCGTTCGTAGTAAGGCCATGTTCGCCCCGATCGTAGCTTCGTGTTCCTAGTAGTAAGGCCAGGAGCCCCGATCGTAGCGTCTTCTGATTCCAGGCCATGTGAACCAGAGCTTCTGCGAAGCCAAGTGCAACTCTCGCTGGTGCTCTCCACATGAGGTGCTCGACCGGGAACCGGTCGCTCAGAAGTCAAGTCCAGAAGTCGAGGAGGGATGTGGTGGAGGAGTTAGACTCATGTGAAACTGGGACCTGGCTCTGAATTTGAGCAGAATGGAAGCAGTTGAGTGAATATTATATAAATCATATAGATGAAGATACTAGCTTTGCACGTGGATTCCAATATCATCCACGATGGATGTGCATAAGACCCTTTGGAGCTCTCAGAGGATGGATTGGGGGTCCGTGCAGTTCCTGGTAGAGCGAGGGAACCTGAGCAAAGCCACGGGTCTGCAGGGTCTCCAGTTATACATACTCGGTGTCCCCAAGCAAAGATCCGTGCAGCTGCGCCCAGATGTGCTTGGTGAGTTCATCAGAGCAGTGGTGGAAGTCAACCTGTTTGCACAGTAAAAAGCAAGTTCATTGTTGCTTTTTCTTATGATCTTGTAGTCCTTGGTAACGATCCCTGACAGCCAAGACTAGCGCAAGACCCATTGGTTCTTTTCCTTCCAAAGAGAATTCACCTTCCGGGCATGGTGCAGTCTGTCGAAGAGTGTCGACAGGTGCAGGTGGCTTTCAACTCTTATACTCCCAAGGCCGGGGCGTTGATCTGGCCGAAAGGATTGGGCATGTATTTTCATAGAGAGACCCCTGATCGCCCGTATTTTCATAGTAGACTCGGGTAGACCTGTCTATCTCCCGAACCGAACTCAAGGGGTCGTTGCGTGGGAGGCTTTACCTACATGATCCTACATGTACATAATATACACCCGGATGGCTCTAGGGGTATAGTCAGAGTTCTAGGGCATTACCCTTCCTCAGACCAGACTGACGCAGATCACCAGCGGAAGACCAGGACATCCGTTGCCGGTGTTTGTTGCCATGTGGAAAGCGAACACGGCACACCACGGCGGAGCTCAATGTTTGGTCGCCCACTCTTTGTCTCTTTCGTTTCGAAAACCACCTGGTGGCCTCCTTCACGCCTGTCACCAGGAGGGCAAGAGCTGCGACCATCGCTCCGTGAGCCAAATGTTCCTGGCGTCAGGCGACGTCGGACCCGTCCAACGGTGTTGGTCGCCCTGGGGGTTTTTCGGGACGTTCATCTCCCAATTCTTTCGCTGAAGCACTAAAGAAACAACGACGTTAAGACCAGCTTTGAAGCATGTTTGTTAGGTCTCCCATTCTTTGACTCAAGAAGTTAAGACCAAACAAACATGCTGATCCTTGGATCCCTTGTAGCTCGACCAGAAAAAAACATGACGAACCGCGTCGTGGAAGAACCAATCACCCTGATCTGCTGATGACACCGCGGCTCTCATGTCGGGTCGTCCGACATCCAACGGACATCTAAAAGCATCATCCAAATGGTGTCCCAATGGAGAGTCCATATGACATATGCGACAATAGTGGAGGGTGAGGGCGACATATCCGACCCCATTTATGACATGTGCCTCCCACCGAGTGGCTGAATTGAGATCGGGTCCATATTACATATGTAGTGCAGGGTAGTCGAGCCAGGTGACGCATTGGATGATCCAGATAGTGTCTGTTTGTAGATACAGACGTCCCACACCTGAGACAGATCGATGATCATTGATGCCGACAGACACAGACAGTGCATCCGGCCCAATTCGCTGCGGAACTTGCTCCATCCGCATGGCGCCAGGCGCCAGATGTTCCCAATATTTGCAGCACCTTCTCTCATTTTTCCATCCTCCGAACATCTCGAACCCCTCCACCGGAGCCCGAAAGCACCGAAAGCACCGGGCGCTTCAGCGCCTCTGCCACCGTGTGTTTGGAGGCATCGATGTGGAACGTCCGGAGCTCGTCGGGGCGCCCATCGAGCGGATTTAGCCGTTCCGAGAAAGACCGGAAGATTGGAAGATGGGCATGCTGGGGCTCCAAAATCAGAAAGGACCCCCGAACTGGCTAGCTCCGCTAGCGATTTGATTTTGATTCTTCCACTACTGACGTACCGGGTGCAGTTGGGTTGTTCGCTTTCACCGACAGCATCTCACCCCTGCACCGCTTTTTAAGCGAACTGTTCCCTACATGCCCCCCCCTCACAAAGGTGTCCACCAAGACAAATGACGTCGGAGGGTTAGGAGCTTGATGACCAGAACACACTGCCACTAGAGTCACTAGAGTCGAGAAAGCAATCTACATTTTGGAGTCCATTTTGGCATCTCCGGGGTCGAGCAAGTCCTCATTCTTCGCACTGAAGAGGGGTCGAAACCGAATAGAGGCTCAAGAAACCATACAATTTAATGAAGCATAATATTATATAGGTTGATTTTCCCAGTAGTTGATTTGGTTCATTTTCAGGAGTTCATCGGGGTGCCAGTCATTTGACCCATAGGCTAAGGCCTTTTTTGAGGCACTCTTCCTGCCAGAATCTGAGCCAGGTCAGTCAGGGCCAGCACTTGAAATGTGGACGTCGGGCTCTTAGGCGAAAGCCTCCAGGACTTGCATGGAAGGCGAAAGCAAACGTCGACACGGACACAGCAGGAGAAAAGGAAATGGTGACACCATGGTGACACCATGACACCCCCTTTTGGTTCGTTCTCAGGATCTCAGTCTCTCTCTCTCTCAATATATGATTATATGACGTGAGGATTACTTGACTTTATTGCAGTGGTTGAGACAGGAGATTGACACGTGCCATTCGGTTCCTCTCTCTCACTGGATGAATGTATTGGGGGGCCCGTTTGGACCATTCCTGGTGTGTCACAAAAACATAAAGGAGAGGAGTGGGTGCCACAAGTTTTGCGGCTGGGAGATAGTCAATAGTCTTGCTTCCACTCTTTTCTATTTCTGCGTGCGCCAGGGGGGAAGGGAAGAACTTAGCATTAATTTATCACTTGTCCCGACCATAGTAAATAGTTCATTTCCATAGTCCTTATCCATAGTCCATACTCTTTTGGGGGTCCTCTCGTCCTTCTCCTTCGCGCATTCACCAAGAATTGGACCATAGCGAAAAGAACTGGATCCCCTTTGAGCGTGAGGGTCAGACCTACGTGGTCCGGGCCCCTGGGCATCCGATGATTGGACCGATAGACCGGGCAGATTCCTCCGAGTGGGGGAAGTCAGTAGAGACTCAGTAGAGTCGAGACAGTTCTTGTAGGTCTTGCTGAAGAGTGACAAGCTTTGACGAACAGTCAGTCCGGTTCTGCTGAAAGGGAGTGGATACATGTGGATACCATGCTCAGAAGGCTGGAGCAAATCTCACACTACTTGGATTTGATCATGCTTTTAGCCAGCTACTCTTCTCGGAGAGTACCATGTTTGGAAGATGAGGACTTTATCTACACAGATGGTAACTATGTCAGGAACTGTTGGAGTGTACCTTGCACTTCAATGTACTCTTGCCACACTTTTTCTTGGGCCAAACTGCTTGCTACTTGGATCTGTTTGGATACTTTTTTCTCACCACAGCCATGCCACCCTGGCCCTGACCATGTGGCTTCAGACAGGTCTATAGCATGATCCCTCATCTCGTCCGAGAGCTCAAGGGCACCGGCAGCTGCGGGCCCGGGGCCCTGGGATGTGGTCTACTCCGGACGCGGTGCCGGGGAGTACGGGAAAAGGCTCCCCGCTTTTCAGCATGGAGAACAGGTGGAGGACACTTAAATCCTGAGGATTTGAGTCCATAGCTTCCCTACATAGCAGCGATAGACCGCTTCGAGCGACGGGGATCACGGATGGCACCGAGCCGACGGGGCTCTGGTTCGCTCGGACGGATCCTGAGACGGCACCCGAGACGGAGCACGTTGGATGGGAAGAGGTGAAGACCTGACGGTAGCCTTGGCATTGCCTCTGGTTTTGATGGAAAGTGAGAGCTCCTTGGAGTTGACCGTTTTCGTTCTTTCCTTGACCGTCGGGTTTCGGTTTATGTACCCTATCTTTGACCCATAGGCACCTCGGCGTCTTCGGCGAGTCAGTGAGCTGCAGGCAGCAATGGCGCAGCATCTTCCCAAAGCTGGAGGAGATGCAGGCGTTCGGAGGGAAGAACTCCAGCGCTGAGCATTTCTGAGCAGTTCACAGGTTCATCAAAAGACACGAGACCTGGAAGCCAAGTCTCATGAATTGACCAACAAGACGGTTCAGACAGCGACCATTCTCTGCTGGGGTAGGTCACTCCATGAATCGCATTCTGCCATCCCCGTGTCAGCTGCTCCAGTCGCATTTGCTGGACGCTGCCATTCGGGGCTCTGCCTCAGCGATCTACCTGGACGCTTGGGGGCTTAGCACTCAAAATCGGGACACCAGGTGGATTTGCAGTAGACAAATGATGTTCGAGTTGATTTTTAAGAGAGGTCGAGCGGCCAAAAACTGTTTGCGGGGATTGGACTATTCAGCGACGCTGCACAAAAGTTGCAGTACACACTTTTCCCTAGCGCAGGACAATTTCCCTGTAGGTCATAGACTCATAGATCATAGACATTTCAGAAGGTAAACTTATCAGGATTCTAGTAGTTTTTTTTATTTCTTCAAAGTAGGGCATGTGCGTGTCCCGCGGCATATCCTGTACCCTCAACAAACTAGTGAAAGAACCACCCAGTGAAAGAGAAAACATCTTCCAATCCAGCTCTTGTTGTTTGTAATACTATATGATGTAATCTAAATATAAATATGACGTCATCTTCTACTGTCTACCTCCGGCGTCCATGCCAATTGTTTCGAATCCGAGCGCAGCCCACCGAGTGCCAGCCCACGCAGGCGCCCAATGCGACAGCACGACTCCCTGAGCCTCACTACCTGGCGCTCTTCCATGCAGCGGATCTCAAGGTGAATTCCATGCGATCACGGGGAGCGAAGGTTGAGGGCTGGGTAGCAGGGGCCAGGCGAATTCCATCCAAAAGCCGAGAATCCATAGAAGTCCAAAGACTAACATCCCACCAAAGTAAAGGACATTCCTAGACTCGGGGTCACCTAAAGACTGTTTTAATGTGTCTTGGACTTTGAGGGAATCGACTACCGATGGAAGATCCTCAAAACATCCGGAGTTTTGCAACTTTTTCCAAGAAATGGGATCATCTTTTTAGTGAATCCTGATGTGACAGGCCATAGGTGGTCTTGTACATCCCCAAGAGTCTTGGGATTGGACCCTGATCCCACGGATCAGGGTCTCCCAAGAACCTTTCGACACCATTGCCACACATGCCAAGACTCATCCGACTCATCCATGCAAATACTTCACCTCCAAAAACACAGGCTTTTCAGAAAACACTCAACCACACCATGGAACCGATCCCGGTCTCCTTCATCACATCCGGTCCATCCGGTCGTCCCCTTCTCACCTTCGTCGTCTTCGCGACACCGGCCACCACACGACCCCCGCGCGCCGGGAAACCAGGTGCGCCGCTACGTGCATTACGCCTACCGCTTTGCGCCCAAGCCGCCCTTTCAGATCCTGCAGGTGCCGGTGGGACGGTCTGTCGGGTGGGGACGGTGCGTTTGGTTCGATCGGGAGAGGAGGGAGAGGAGGAGTTTGGCAAGGGGGGATGGGCATGCTCTGTTGGAGTCACAAGGTGACTGAGGTGAGTGATGTTTGCGGCGCGCCAAAATCGATGCAGAAAAACAACAGGATTAGGGCAATCTAGTCCCACTGCTGGTGTGTCACTTCGACTCTAGCCTCGATGCCGAAAAATATCTGGTCGTACTCTGGGCCATTTTTGCCCGAGGAATGCAAATGCAATTCCATATGGCTGGGGCATCTATTTTGCATTTTTCCAACCGGCGTACCTTGCGGATCGATCTATGATGTTATTGGCTCAGCACATCATGACACAGAAGCAACAGACACAACCCATATTTCCCCGTGAAGATCCATTGAACCGGACCATTGCTTAAAACTAAACAGCCAAGGTTTCAGGTGAGGAGATGTGATCAATATCTGCATGATGGATTGAGGTCATTCTCATTCATTCTCCATCAATCCCCAATTTCCTCCCAGATTTCAAAAGCGACTTTCGTCATGTGAAATGATTTGTATATTATGCCAAGCATCAAAGTAAGCTCCTGATCCATGAAAGTCAGTATCTCCAGATGAGTGATATATAATAAAAACAGAACTCACAAATACATGTGATCAGTATCTCCAGATCAGTTTTTTCAGAGTCCATCACTGCTAGGCTCGCACCCCTTTTTTTGGCCCGGCTTGCCGGGCTGCGGACCGGCCGGACAGTGCGGACCGAAGGTCTCAAAGCCTCTACCCTTGCAGATGCTTCCACCGATGCCCGGGTGTTGAACTCAGCGTTGAACTGATGTGCAACACACGTTGAACGACCCATGATTGCTACCTCGAACTTGCCAGGAGGACTCCACGCGTTTTTTTAGATATGGACATGGTCCTTTTGGGTCTTTGGAGGTTTCTGCTGAACATGTTCGCGACCCTTTCGCTGCAATGACACGGAGCTGCAGGGCGCCGCCCTTCGCGTTTGCCTCGGGCATCTTGCTGCGTGAGGAGCAGGTTGGCACAGGAAGAGCCATCTGAAGATAGACTCCTGTTGATCTATAGTCTTGATACAGATCTCATACAGCTGATGAAGGTGAATGGATGTTTTTGAGTCTGGTTCGTAGAGGATAAGGGTCTCGAGTCTGAGCCAAACCACGCGGAACTGAGCTCAACCGCCGGAGGTGATTCTCACCTACGCAGCTGGGGATCGGGAATCAAGAGCTTGGGTGCTCAGAGTCGAGCAGGCGTCGGTGTCAGTGCATGGTGCACGTCCTGCTGTTGATTCTGCCAGGCATTCCTGTTGATTCTGGCTGGTTTTCTTCAAAGAAAGAGCTATATAGACGAGGAAAAACTCAGGAAAATCACCAGTCACTACTTGAAGAAGGTGAATAATTATCAATTTTCCTGAGGATGTGGATGATTTGTCATGACGAGACTGTTGACCTGATTTTGATCTATGATTTACCCCGATTTGCTTATTTCATTTTTTGATCACTTGGACATACTTGGACCTTGTCTTGCGTGTCATGTTGGTCGCCATGCTAGTACATTACCAAACAAGATGACGCGCGGCACACATATGGATACAACCATACAGAATCCATGTGTTTCCACATAGTCGGAACTTGCTTGTCGGTAAAGATCCTTACCATCATCATGAACTACCAGCAGTGAGGAAGAAAAGAACCCAACACAAGCCTTTATGGCATGTCATGTGTAGTGTGGATTTATCTACAACCAGCCAGCGAAGTCCCACTGGTCTTTGCCGAAGATAGACTCGTTGGTCGGTTTATGCAGCGGTCCTGCTGGCCCTCTCCACCCACGCTCCCTTCTTGACGCCATGAGGGCCTCGTTCTCTGCTTCGAATGAGGCCCTCTTGATGTCCTTGAAGCAGTTGGACAAATACTTCGAGTAGATCGAGGTGGGGGCCCAAATGGCGCAAGAAAGCAAGTGATGCTTCTCAGTTCTTTTAGCCCAACAAGACAATGTAGACAAGAAAACCGCCTTTTATTTGAATGCACTGCATGAATTGATCCAAAATATAAATTGTGGTCATTGTGGTCCAAGTCTCTTTCAACAACATCTCAGAGGCCACTGCCCTGCTGGCGGCCCTTCTGTACAAAGCCCGCAAGCCAACGGCATCGCCGGTCGCTGCCGGGACGTTTCTGCTGCGTCGGGTCTGAGGTCAATGGAAGGAATTTCGAGATTCACGGGTGTTCTTAGGGTTTCGCAAGAATGTTTGAAGGTATCTCGGTATCTGTGAGATATTGGTGGATGGCAATGGTAGGTTTTTACCTTACAAATACAAGCAGCATGGAAGTCTTAAAATATGACATCCTTGGCTTATGCGATTGATGCGAACTGCAAAAACATACAAAGTGCCAAAGAAATTGGTCAGACCCACAAGACAAGGAGTCACACGAGTGCCTACCACAGGCCTCGTGGTTTTTTTTGATCTCCAGTGCATGGCGGTATAAATGGTTGATTCTGTCTGTTAAGCAGGAACAAGGCTTGTGTTTTGAGTAGGAATGTTTGGCTTTACTTGGATCTAGGAAACAAATGATATCAAATGATGACTGGTGTGTGAAGATCGAAACCCAGTGAGTTTCTAGGTGAACAAAGTCTCTAGCATTCTCTAGGTCTTGATTCCCAGCATTTCCTCCTTTGCGCAATCCGCAATCACTGGAAGTTTGGCCGACGGTGAACTACAGCTTTCGGTCGCGTGTGCGGTTCAAAGAGACTGCGCGAAGTTCGTTAACGAGACGAGCAAGCGAAAGCGTCGAGACTCAACGTTGGTGCAGTTGCCAGCAGTTTTCTCCACGCTTTCACTCAAGGACCAGCGGAGCAGAGAGGTTCTCCGAGAAAAAGAGGTTGTGGTTGACTTCGTGTGTTCGACAACCTCGCCCCAAAGACGGAATCATATACTTGGTTTTACGGGGATGCTGAGCTTGCTTTTGCTTAAAATGAAAAGGATATTGACGTTGCGCAATATCATGCCATATCTATCCCCAAAATGTACCTCTGTCAATTTCTGGGAGAGTCTTGGGGTGTCCCCTCAATTCGGAGTACCCAAAGATTGGAGTTTTTGTTCAACTTGGAGGTGCTTTCAGCTAGGCTCAACCGCCAACATACCCCAATCACGCGAAGCCGATTGCCGTAGTGAAGGGGAGACATTTCATTGGGAACTCAGAGGTTTTGGTCAGGTAAAGTTATGATACCAACAAAACAGATCATTAGGGAACTCGGTGTTATTTTGGAACTCAGCGATAGAGTTATGATACGCAGCATGTCCCCAACCCTTCTCTTGGCCCAACACCGACAGCCTTGATTCCGTTGCTCGGCTCAGTGATATCGTTAAACAGAGAATGAACAGTTCAGCCCACCAAAACACCCAGCCATACATCTCCCGTGAAGATGAGAAAGTCAGTCGATTCCAGCTGAACTCACACATCTCAACAAGTCAATTCCAGCTGGAACATGCTTGATCGACGAATCTGACAAATGCCAATGCAACAGCTGAAACTTTTGTACCGAACAAGGCAGCTCTTCCTTTTGACTCCTGTTCTCTTCTACGCGTTCTGACGGCGAAGAAGAGCGCATCGCACGGCCGGACGGACGTTGCGTGACCCCAATGTGCCCTGGCCGAGCTGCGGGGTGATGGCCCGGTCGGTCACGCCTTCTCGTCTCCAAAGTCCGGTGCTTTTCCCACAAGTCCGGAAGGTCGGGAATCTGAATCCCCTCCGCTCTGATTCCTGAATTCTCATATGCTGATTCCTTTTCTCAAAAGATAGTCCCAACAAGTCTTGTGCAATCGTTTTTAGATGGGATTCATCGAAAAATGGGAAAGACACGTTTTTCTCAAGCAGAGGTTGAATACTGGGTGGTCCAAATGTACCAGATTTATTATGACATTGAATCATTGGAAGGCAAAAGCTATACGTCTTGTCCAAAACAAGCTACACCTTTTCCGTAGATGTCTGTGTTTCATCCTTTCACCTTCCAATCCGAACAGCGGATTCGTGCCGATTCAAGAGTTTACGAAGCTGGACGGGTTTCCTGAGGTACGATCCAGCGTGCAAGGTGAAGAATACCTTCTTGGAGTTTGCGCCGGTGGAGGCGGGTCCCAATCACATCCCGGCCGTCTCCGCCGGGTCTGGGGTTCAAAAGAACTGCGAGAAATCCGACGATTTGGGCAAACACGGACAGAACGAAAGGACTTTATAAGCAAACAGTGATCACTGGAAGTATGTTACTCCAGTTCATCGAAGCATGGCCATGTTGAGCTCAGGACGAAGCCGCGCTCCGGAAGAGGCGAAGAAAGAGGGCCATCGAGGACCCACTGGTCAAGCTTTCAGAAAGCGCTTCTGAGGTGGTTTCTGCACACCTCCCTCCACTCCCCGCCGAAAAAAGGAATGCTGTCTTCCAATTCGTTTGAACTCATATCTATATATTATATATATATACTGTATATGGTCATCCATTTATTCTATTTTGGAACTTGGTTGACACAGTTCGTCATACTTAGTTCAACCTCCCAGCCGCAAACGTTTTTTCTCTGCCCGGCTGGGGTACAACTCTGGGGTGACCTGTGGGGCAACAGGGCTAGCAGCCCAGATGAGTGTGGCGACCGACAGAAAAGCCGTTTGACCTGGGAACCACCACGCTGTGTTGGGTCATCGCATCTTTACATTGTTCCTTTTTCTTTCTTAACTTGCATTGAGAGCACCCGATTTGAGAGGCATACAGAAATGTAATATTCATCTACTTTATCTGGTTTAGAGGTAAGTAGAAGTTGACTTTTACTGTGATTGATTCGGGCCATCATTGCTTGCCCCAAGCAGTGGCTGACCACGGCGTGAAGCTCTGGGATTTGTTCCTCGGACATCAGCTGATGTGGGTGCTTATCAGCGATGGGATTTGTGTCCTTGGATGGATGGGTAGTCTTTCATGTTTTGCCCCGTGGTACAACCATCTCCTGGGTTGGTAAACAATTATAGTACCTGTAACAGTCGGTAAACAATTAGAAGGCCAGGATAGGATAGACCCAAACCATCTCATCTTGAATTCATACTTGGCTTTGACCACCCGTCTCACGGTGGTTAACCAGCACATGTCCCCTTCAAGCGAGCTACATCGTAAGTTTGAAGAACGCTTGGCCGCCTTTGGATTTTTGGACACCGGTCAACCCGGCAGAGAACCACATGCCGTGTGGGCGGCATCAAAACTGGTTCGGTCCATACAGTTGGTCATAGAGTTGTGCCGATACCTCGGACCACAGGCGCAGTCGCAGTGATGGGCCCTTAGTGGCCCGGAACCTCGGGCGTGGACGTCGTTTAAAAAAAAACGAAAACAACAACACGGCACAGTTTTCTGCACAATCTTGAAGAAAGGAGATGTCCTTGCTCACTGACCGAAGGAACACTTTTCACACAGTCGCCCTTTGCTATATCCCTGTCTTCTGTCTTCAGACGATGCACATCTCTTCATAGTTTCAAAATATAGGAGTTCACTGGAGGTCAAACTTCTGACAGCTACCAACTTATCCTAGTGTTTCTCAGGATAGCCTTTAGTCAATCCTTTTGGGCGTACTGTCCTGATGACTGTTTCGCTTGTTCTCTGCAAGACATGCTGTGGCACCAGCTGTGGCCTCTGCTTTTGTCCCTGTCTCCTTCTCCGTCCAACATGCTCCGCCCTCCCAGGTGGCCTCCAAATCCCCGAACGCCTCCCCGCTGTGGGGACACTGAGCGAAGGAACGGTCTCGACAGGAGGACACTGAGAGAAGCAGATCCCAAAAAGCATGTTGGTCGAGTTTGGGAAGCTGGGAAGGTCCTAACCGCCGGGTAAGCTTTTCAGTGAGTGTAAAGAATTGCACATTAGAAAAAGAACATGAAGACACATGGAATTTCCTAGGCATCTAGAATTTCTTTGTACGGACCAGGGATTGGGATTTGCCAATTTCCGCAGTGACGCAGAGAAGAAGTGCCATGTAACCATCCCAAAGTCTGTGAGTCTCTTAGGGGTTGGTTGCCTTTGAACGATTCTCCCCTTGACGAAGAGAATCCGGCTGCGGCTTGACTATCTAGAGACTTTTGATGGAGCTTTTTCCTATGTGCTGAAAAGGGTTGCGTTCTGGAAGGCTTCAAGAAGTACTTACCGGCGAGTTCGATGGGAGTCACCATCAGTCTTCTGTCTAGTCCAGTCCAGTCTTCTGTCTTGTGAAGGAAACGGAAGATGGAACAAACCGCTGCAACCAAAGGGACAAGGTCCTAATTCCTGTGCATCAAAACAAACCAATCCCCAAACATGTTGATGCATTACTCTAGGTTCAGATCTTTTGGCGCTAGAAAAGGTCACGGGAGAGCGGAATGCACAGAAAAAAAAGCAAACCAACAAGGATAGACACCTTGCCAACCAGTCAGAGAAGGCCAACCATTGGAAAGCTGTTGCAGCAGGTGATGGGCACAGTAGATGGCGCAGGGGAAGGGGGGGGGCGCAGGAGATTTCCACCCACTCCACAAACCATCAACAAAAACATCGCTCCATCTCCTGATGCTTGTACTTGTAGCGCGCAGCTTTCCAGTAGCTGGAGCGAGGCCGTGTCTATGAATAGTGTTGCGCCATCTTATGTGAGTGTTCTGAATTGCCCAAATGCGCCATCTTATTTTTTGTCGGCGCCATCTATCACGAGCCTAGTGTATTACATTTTCCAACCCTCTCATAGATGGAGATATTGGACCAAGCACGGGGGGTTTCACTCATCAACAGCCAACTTTCGTTTGTTCCACAACCGATTTGCTCTTTTCTGGGATCGACACTTTCCTCCCATGGGCTTTTGACAAGAAGCCATCTACCAGGTGGATAGCTGATAGCTGTGTGTATCATACAGCGATGTACTGATATACTACTTTAAAATAC